AGATGTAGTTCAGTGGCAAAATGTGTGCTTTGCATGCACAAGGCCCTGAGTTCGATCCCTAGCACCATTTAAAAAAATTGCATTGGGATAATAAACACAAAACTTAGAAGAGTCTTTTCCCAGGAGGGGTGGTTATCCCCCTCTTATTCAGGGTCTCACTTTCCATGATTTTACACTTGGTCAACTATGGCTTAAAAAATATTAAACAGAAAATTTCAGAAGTAATTCATTAGCTTTAAATAAGTTTTATTATAGTATGTTGCTATAATTGTTCTATTTATTACTAGTTATTATTGCTAATTTCTTACTGTGTCTATTTTATAAATTAAATTATCAAAGGTATGTATGTACAGGGAAAAAAATGTAGTACATATTGAGTTCGGAATTATCTGTGGTTTCAGGAACCCACTGGGAGTCTTGGAAAGTATCTCCCATGAAAAGAGGAAAATACTATAGTAGAAATATTTTATTTTACAAGCTGGATAGTAGATATGTGGGTGTTTATTAATCTTTGAATTCTCAATGTTTTCACAATACATAAAATTTTAATGTATTTACTGAATATCAACCTGGATCTAACTGGGTTTTTAATGATGAATAAAACCAGATCCCATCCTACGTAAAAGTAGAAAACTAGTAAGTAGAGAAAAAGGACTATTATTCAACTGTCCTTTCTGAGCTCCTTTGCTCAGAAATAAAATGAGAGCTATACTAGGAAGCTTGTAAATAGAAGGTTCTGAGTGAGGATCCTAGGACCTAGAAATGTGCCTCCTCTTTGTCAGCCCACTCCCCCTCTAAGACTTTATCATGAGGTCTTGGAACCAGACATGGCACCATCAACCACTGCGAGGGACCCTAAGGCAAAGGCCAACTTCCTTGAATTTTTTTTTTTTCTTCTCAGTAAAATAACTTCTACCTCCCAGGTTTACTGCAAGAATGTAAATGAGATGGCACATATAAAGTGTCAGGGAAAGGCCTGGCACACAATAAATCCTCCACACATGAAGAGTCTTCACTTTGATTCCACAGGTATTTCCTGAGCAGACATGCTGGGTCAGGCCTGTGTTAGGGGCTGGAATGCAGAATTACACTTTCAATGGCCAAAGCAGCCCCAGCCAAGTGGGGAGAGAGCCTCAAAAACAATTCTAGGCAGAGTGATGTCACTGCTAAAAAGAGACAGCAGTCATGTGCACAGATGTAGACCCCATGCTATGCAGACCCTGGGACAGGGAGATGTCCCAATCAAAAGGCCAGTCCAGACTTGAACAGAGGTCTCCACAGGGGCAAAGGCAAGACAGAAAGCTAAGGGACTGGTCATTCAAACTGCAGTACAGCCCTGCTTATTGTTTTTTTTTTGTTTTGTTTCTACTTTTCTTTCTCCCACCTGCCCCCCATCTAATCCATACTTAAATATTCCCATGAACTCTAGAATAGAGATTCAATAGTCAGCTTTGAGAAGCCTAAACTTATGGCACATCCCAAGGGGTGTGTGGGGGAGGGACACAATGACTAAACAGTGCCAAACTGTGTGATCTCTGGCAAGTCAGGACACCTCTTCATGCCTCCACTTCTCCAGCTGTAAAAATGGAGACTGTACCATTACTGACCTCAAACAGCATCCCCTCATAGAGTTGTGGTTAAAAAGTTAATGACTATAAAGTCATTAGCCAAGTACCTCGCACTTAGTGACCAGATTAAGAATAATTATTAGGAAAAAACAGATTCCATTTTGAAGGTGAGGCAAGTGGGTTTCAGAGAGGTGAGATGGCTTGCTTATAGTCATCCCTCTGGGTTGTGGAATCAAGATTTGAACTCAGCTCTGAGCCAGTCAAACCTCATTGCATCTCCCTCTGCTCCAGAATCTTCAGCAGGTTGCCTATAGACTACTAAATGGAATCTATCCTTGCCATATAGTGAGAAACCAGCAAAGGCTCAGGGAATCAGAAAGACCTTGGGCAAATTCCCTCACTCTGGTTTTTTTTTTGGTTTTTGTTTGTTTGCTTGTTTTTGTTTTGTTGTGGTGGGACTAGAGTTTGAACTCAGGGCTTCACACCCTGAGGTAGGCAGGTGCTCTACCACTTGAGTCACTCTGCCAGCCCTTTTTTGTGTTGGGTATTTTTGAGACAGGGTCTTGAGGACTATTAGCTTGAGCTGGCTTTGAACTATGATCTTCCTGATGTCTTCTGAGTAGCCAGGAGTAAAGGCATACGCCAACGGTGCCTGGCTCCAGTCCATATTTCGCTCTAGTTATTTTTTGGAGATGGGGGTCTCACATACTATTTCCCAAGGCTGGCTTTAAACTTTGATCTTCCTGTTCTCAGCTTCCCAAGTAGCTAGGATTACAGGCATGAGCCACCAACACCCAGCACCCTGGGTTTCTTTATCCTAGATTCCTGATTGGGCCTGAGAAAGTCTGTGAATTCCTCCATATAGAATATGCAAAACTTTGTGTTTAATGAATAACCTCAAACCACTTAACGGAGATAACACTGTCTACCTTGAAAGGTTGTGAGGTGATTAAATCAGGCAATTTGTGAGCAGTACCTAGACATCATAAACTTTCACTTGTCAGTTTTTACTCTTCCTCCATCCTCAGCCTATTTCCATTACACCGCAAATACTATTGAGCATCTGCTATGTGCTAGGCATCATTCCAGGCGGTGGGAGGAAAAGTGGTGAACAAGACAGATATTGGCCCTTTGATGGCACTCACACTCCAGTAGAAGGAAACAGACAAATACAAGTTACAGTTTCAGGTACTAACAACTGCTCTGAAGAAAACTCATAGGCTAATGGGGGTGGTATTTAAGGAGGAATGACAAGGAGCCAGTAATGCCAAGATTTAGAGGCAAAGCAGCCACATGGAGGGAGGAGGAAGAACAAAGCTTCACTGGAAAGATCCTAGACTAAGAGTCCTTCATTTCCAGTCCCACCACATACTAGGTCACCTTGAACAAACCACATAACTTCTCAGGTTCAGTTGCCACACCTACAAAATGGGAATGAAGCCACCCTACCTGCCACAAGGGGATTCAACCAAAGGGCTGTTAAGGTCTGGGATCCTCCCCAAATCTCACCAATCCATACCTGATATGTGTCATTGGTGATCTGTCATGAAAGAGAGGACTCTGTACAGAGAACCTTGGGTCATTTTTTTTTAATTTCATGCTGCACTGGAAATAGCTTCCTTTGTTCTAGCTTAATACAGCAGCCCTTTTCTGCTACTTGGGGCCTATTATAATAACTAATGCTTCACATCCCTCTTAGGTACATAAGCAGACAAGGAAAAGACATCAGATCAACAAACATTGTTCTGGCAATAACCAGACCACCTATCTGCCATCCCTATCCCCATTCACACAAGAAGATTGGAGGGCTCCATCTGTCCTGTAGTTGAGAGATTGTACATACTTTATCTAAGGACTTGGAAGGATCTAGGTCCCTGAGTTGGTCCATTGATCTATAATTAGTCAAAGTTCTCCCTCCTAAATCTCTATTTAACCTGTCATCCCCTTTTCTCCATCTCACAACCACTGTCTATCTCAGTCTCATTATCTTACACCTTAACCCTCTCTGAGCTCTTTCTGGCCATAGTATTCCTAATTCCAAACCAACTGCCATGGTGCAACCAACAGTTAACACACAAAACTGACCATGTCTCTCCTCTGCTTAAACCCTCCAACAGCTTCCCATTGCCCAGTGGATAACCACTAAACTCCTTCATCTGGTATCAAAGGCTACTTCTCCAAGACTGAGCTTCTAACAGCCTGGTCTCAACCCCAGGTCTTCCTTATTATTTATACCAAACTCCTGTCTCTAAAACAAGTCCAAACTCAGGATTGTATGCCTTTGCTGCTTTTCCTGCCACTTGGGGCACCCAGCCTCCCACCTCCACTCCATCTCCTTCACAGCCTATACTCATCCTTCATGACGTTGAAGTTCTTCCCTGAATCCACCAGAAAAGCACTTCTACCTTAGTCAGACTGAAAGCAGGGCCATCTCTTATTCATGGTTAATTCCCTAGGGTTTGGACCGATAAATTTCATTTAACTAAAATTCTTATCAGGTGCTTCAGATTGCACAGGATTCTCTCACAATCTAGGAAAAAGAAAGCTAAGGCACTGGGGGCTGCCAAAGGGGAGGCAGGGTAGGACCATGAATTCACATACTGCCCCAGGGCTGCAGGTGTGGCTCAAGCGTTAGAGAGCCTAGCAAGCCTGAACCCCTCAGTTCAAACCCCAGTACCGCCAAATAATAAAAATACTGCTCCAGATCCTGTTGTAAGTGGTACTGAAGAGTTAAAACAACAACAACAAACCCCCCAAAACACTGGGTCACCTTCAAACAGTACTTACTTCAACATTCCTAGAAAAATGGAAATGCTTTCCTTTCCTCTCAGGCTTTCCCTGCCGCTGTCCCATGTGAGAAAAACCAGATAGGTTTTTTTCTGGGACTTGACTGAGCTGGAAAACAGCCTAGATTTTAATACTGTGACCCTGCGTCAGTCAGTCTCTTGCCCCTCTCGGACCTTCTATTACCACGCCCACCCCCACCTCTCAAGTGTGTGTCCCTGACGTAGCTCTGAGCAGGAGTTTCTCCATCCTACATTGGATGTCACCAGCACTGACGCTACAGGAGTTAAGGTTACCACCGACCTAGCTTGACCCCGCCCCTATTTCCCAAGGTCGGTTCGCTTGGGTGCAGTCGACGAACCCCTAAAGCCACGTGGCCCTCACACGCTAACTGCCCCTTCCCGGCCGCCGTCCAGCTGCACAGGCGTGGGTCTCCTGCTCCGCCCTACCTCTTTAAACCCTGCGGGGGGAGGTCTGCGCAAGCGCACTGGGTCGTGCTGAGGCCCCGCCCCCTGAACTCGGGTAACGGCGCAAGGAGTCTGAGAGCCGTACGCAGCCGGACAACGGAAGAGTAGGTTGGGGCTCAGCAACGGCGGCTGGCGAGGGTCATGATTCCTCGGGAAGACAGTTCTGAGGGAGGGGTCTGGCGAGCCCTTGGAACGCCGAAGGCCGGGAGAGCCTGGAGCGCAAACCCGTTGGCGGCGCCGGGAGGAGGTTGGGGTGGCGCGTGTGGATCCTAGATTTTCCACATCTTCTGCCTCCAGATTGGGCAGGTGTCGGAGACCCAGGGCCAGTGAGACCAGAGCCAAAGTTAAAAAAAAAAAAAAAAACCTCAATAAAAAAAGAAAGCTGGGAGAGATTAGGACCAAACTTTATCCGGGGTGGGAGAGAGTGGGCAAGCCTCCACTGTGTGGTTGCCCTAGGCCGGGAGCAGGCATTGGCCTCGCCATTGGGATAAAGTCCGACCGGATTTCCTTGTTGGCGGTGTGAAGTTGTTGTGATTCAGTCACCATTCATTTATTTAATGATCTTTGAATGCAGTACTAGGCGCTAGAAAAGGCAAATGCTGTTTCTGTGGTACAGGGAAAAGGAACAGTCTGTAGAAATCCTAGACAGAGAAGACCAGGAACAAATTCCAAAACTAGCTTAGGAGTGGTGGGGAGTGTTCAAAGGGCAAAGAGAGAGGCTGGTGCTTCACCCTGAATCTGTTCAGTGTCCAGGGAAGAAATGGGGGTGGGCAGAACTCGGCTGTCAGTGCAGGTTGACGTTGAGCAATTCAAAGCTGTGTATTTGGCAGCAGAATCCACAGGATTGGTGGAGAATGGGACGTAGGTAGGATAAAAGTACATAGGAGGCTTGGGTGCCAGGGTGAGGTTCATCAGAGGAGAAACTGATGTTTGGGGAGAGAGGAAATTCTATTCTGGTTGTGTGGAAGTTGGGTATGCTAGTTTGAAGTTCAGGACAGTACTGCTTTGAAAAATACAGATTTGAGTGTCATCACTAAAATAGAAGCCAGCCACAAGAAAGTGTTAAGACTATAGAATGAGAAAAACAAAAGCCCCGGTTAACACTTTTCATAGTGAATATTATTATTATGATTACTATCTTGAGACAGGGTCTTGCTGTGTAGCTCAGGATGGTCTCGAACTTGGAATCCTCTTGCCTCAGCGTCCTTGTGCTGGGATTACATCCTGCCATAGTGATAGATATAGATATAGATATAGATATAGATATAGATATAGATATAGATATTGGCAGGCAGTACAGGAGTTTGAACTCAGGGCTTCAGACTTACTATGCAGGTGCTCAACCACTTGAGCCATTCTGCCAGCCTAGTGATAATTTTATGTTTTACTTTCTCAATGTTTCTAGTACCCAGTCAAGGGCTTGATATTAACAATGTTGGGCAGCTAGGCAAAAGTCCAGCAGACAGATGTTGAAATCCCAGAGTAGTGGAAGGCCTCATTGCTGTAATGTCCGTCATGGTTTCTTGTCCTGGTTCTGCCATTTTGGCTGCTGTGTGACCTCTGAAAAGTCTTCTTTTACTGTTAAATGATACAGTCCAAAACAAACAAACAACAAATTCCTATGTATAGAACTTTTTGTTGTTGGTGGTTTGTTTTTTGATTTTCCTGCTATGGTTTGGATATGGCTTGAGTGTATTCCACAAGGGTTTATGTGTTGGAGGCTTGGTTCCCCGCATGTGGTGATATTGGGGGGAGATGGTGGGACCATTAAGAGGTGAGCCCTTTGGGCTGGTGGAGTGGCTCAAGTGGTAGAGCGCCTGCCTTGTAAGTACTAGGCCCTGAGTTCAAACCCCAGTACTGCAAATAAATAAATAAATAAAAGAGATGAGGTCTAGCAAAAGATCCTTAGGCCACGAGGGATCTGCCCTTGAAAGGGATTAAGATAGTTCTTGTGGAACCCTGGCTTAGTTCTCAAGGGAGTAGATTGGCCTGAGAATGAGCCTGATACTGAGTCACCCTCTTTGGTCCTTCTCATTCTCACTACTGCCATTGTAGTGCTGTCTGACATGAGGTCCTCACTTGAGCCAGTGCCATGCCTTGAATCTCCAAAACTGTGAGCTTAATAAATCTCTTTTCTTTATAGAGTTATTCAGCATCTCACTAATAAACTTCATGCTGAGAAAAGAAACACTGATGAGAAACTTCATGCCAAGTTTTTCATTTAATCCACGTAGTGACCTTGTTTATAAGAAAAATATTATGGATTCAAACCTAGGTCTGTCTGACTCCAGAACCTTGCTCTTTACTATATCTATTGTCTTCTGTCTCTCAGCTAACAGGGATGTTGTCAGGATCCTCTTGAGATCACATGCTCATTTTTGTAAAACATTGTGCTGAGGCTGGCAGACTTGTGTGATTGATCTAACCCCAGCTTTGTCATGAGGAGAGGAAGATGTAGTTGAAAGTGATAGAGGTTGCCTATCATTCTCACTCTCTTCCTGGGGACCACTGTGTTGGGTAGCTATGTTCTTTTCTTAAAATTAAATGACAATAGGGCAGAACAAAATTAATGACTGGTGTTTCCAGAATTTTATCCAGCTCTAAATGCCTAAGGCCTGCTGCAAAATGAATGAGTAGCAGTGTGAGTTGGTATACCTCTGAGGGTCTCTACACAGCTAGTCAGGCTCTTTCTCCTATTACATTGACTTGGCCACCTGGGTCTCAGTTATTTCCACTCTGCTAATGTGATTTTCAAAATATTTTGTGTTGTGATGATAGATGTCCATATATAAAATGCAATTTGGTTCCGGCTAGCAAGTTTGCTTCTGGGTAGTATGAGGAAGGAAATTACCTCATCTGCATTTCATGGTACTCCACAAAGGGCTCCTTCATGCCTCATATGGGATTTGTTTAAGATCTACTGGAGTGGGTTGTTGGAATAAGAAGGGAAATTAATAACTAGTAGAATGTTTTCTATCCTAGGAAAACTTTTCTAAAAATACAGAGGTTCAAGTCCTCCCTCCTTTCAGGCCTCTTAAATCAGAATCTCTGCAGTGGGGCTCAGGAATCTGTATTTTTCCCAAGTAACTCAGAATGTTCAGCCAGGTTTGGAAACCACTGATTTACCTCCACCCACTTGTTTCACAGGTAGGGAATCTGCAGCTCTGGGAGGGGAAGGAACTTGCCTCAGTCACATATGACTTCACTGTCTTTTTTCTCTCAAGATGAGTGTTGGGCTGGGAGTCCAGAGACCTGGGTTCAAGTTCAACTTTACCAGTCATTGCTTAGGGAAAGCCATTTCACTTCTGAGCCACTGCTTCCTTACTGTGAGACTAATGCCATTGTTGTACCAGCAGGGTCCCGAAGTGTTGGGAGGTGGCTACTAGCCAGTTTTGGTGGTTGTTAGTCCCTAGGCCATCTGTCACCAAGCTCTCTTGTCTGTCACAGGTTAGGATGGCCACCATCTGGGGGAGCCTCTTGCAGGATGAACAGCAATGGAGTCACTGGCACAGCAAGCCGTGGACCGAGCTCTGGCTGAGGGAGTGTTGCTGAGGACCAAACAACAGCCCAGCTCCTCAGACGTAAGCATCAGACCATTCCCACAGTATGACCATGCTATTCTGGCCCCTGGCAGATTGGGAGCAGCTCCTTTGAGTCAGAGACCACATCTCTTTTTTGCTTTATTTAATTTTGTTCAATAACTAAAATTGATCTCTGGAAGTATATAAAGTAAATAGCAGCATGCTGGAGTAAATCAAATTTAAATCTGGGGTTTGAAGTTGACTAGAGAGGGTTACTTAATCTTTCCCAGCTGTACTTTCTTCAAATATGTAAAAGGAATAATAATAGGAACTCTCTAATTGGGTAGGAAGGAGAATTAGAAGGAAATGTACATAAAGCACTTTGTCCAGGGAGCTATAATTTTATTATTTACTAAGCCCCCTAATTACAGTGCCTTCTGTGTAATTGGTTTGTGATATGTCCTTTCAGGTCTGTTTCTGTGCATTTATATATATAGACATGTATATATAGAAATTAGAAATTTTTAAAAAAAAATGGAATCATTCTGTGATGTGCTTTTGTTTTTTGTTTAATCATCTGTCCTAGAACTCTTTGTAAGGCCCCCATTAGAGTCAGCCTCATTCTGGTGCAGAGTACTGCAGGTGTGAATGGATCAGCTCAACTTTCCCCCACTGATGGCTAGTCGGATGACTTCTGATGTTTTTAAGACTACAGATAGCACAACAGCAAAGTCCACATGCATGCCAGTTTGGGTGCCTGTATAAATGTTTCTCTAGGATTGATATGAAAATGTAGAACTTCTGAACCCAAGACATTAAAAAAAAAAAAAAAATCCCCCCTTAGCACATGCTGGTGGCTCATGCCTGTAATCCTAGCTACTCAGGAGGCAGAGGTCGGGAGGATCTCAGTTTGAAGCCAGCCCAGGCAAATAGGTTGCAAGACATTATTTTGAAAAAAAACTTCACAGAAAAGGGCTGGTGCAGTAGCCCAAGGTATAGGCCCTGTGTTCAAACCCCAGTACTGGAAAAAAAAAAAAAAATCCACCCTTTAGCTGGGTGTGGTAGCTTCTTGTGTCTATACTCCCAGTACTTCAGAGGCAGGAGGATCACTTGAGCCTAGAAGTTTGACTAGCCTAAGCATAGTGAGGCTTCATTTCCAAAACAAAACAAGGAAACAAAAAACTTATCTTTAAAAACTTATCCTTAAAAAAAATTTATTTATTTTGTGATTAGGTAATACATTTTTATGGTTTAAATTCAAAAGTTAACAAGAGTTTACAGTTTAACACTCCGTTCCACATTCCTCTGTCCTGAAGACAACCTGTCCTTTCAGAGAGTTTATTCATAAGTAAAGTAAGTAACTGTACATTCCTCCTGGTTTTTTTTGGTAACAGGCTTATCATTATGTAGCTCAGGCTGGCCTTGAATTTATGATCCTTCTGCTGCAGCCTCCTGAGTGCTTGGATTACAGATATGTACAACTACGCAGAAGCATGGTTTTTTAAACAGGCATGGTACACAAGCTCTTTTGTATCTTGCTTTTGTAAAAAATTCCTAATTAACAGTTTATTTTAAGCCCATCCACATTAAAAAAGAGCGCCAATATCTTTTTTTTTTTTTTTTAAACCCATCAACCTTTTTTGTCTGTGTGGTCAAAGCCTAGTGGGACTGGTGGACAATTCAGGCTCAGTAAATATTTGCTAAGGCCCAAGTACATGAGAATGGCCATCACTTAAGGCCAGATGCTGCCTCTGGTTTTGGAAATAGAATTTCTTGGGTTGTAAACCTATATTTTGTGAATTGTCTGAATCTAGGATTAATTGTTTCCCCTTTCAAGCTTTTATTTCTTATGTGAATAAATAGGTATTGTGTGAAGGTCTAATATGTGGTTTTTCTGGGAGCCTAGAAAAGGCACAATCCCCAACAAAATTTCCAATCCAGAGAAAAAGACAGGAAATATACGTGCAGGTGGTATTGATTTCATTCTGAATTTCTACCAGGTGCCTGCTCTATGCCAGGACATCCTAGACACTGAGGACAGGGTGAGCCAGCCAGAGGCCCTAGCCTCTGGGTCTAGCCTCGGGGTCTAGTTGGAGTACATATACAACACAAAATTAAATGTCAGTTCTATGAGTACATCAACAGTATGTTGCACAATATTAGCTAGCATTTATTGATTATTTACTGTGTCAGTCAATGGTCTACACACTTTGGAATTACTGACTCATTTAACTTTCAACCACAATAGGGATGAAAAAACCAGGTTCAGCCTGCCTAGCAAGCGTAAGGCCCCGAGTTCAAGCCCCAGTATGGCAAAAAAAAAAAAAAAGAAAGAAAGAAACTATGCTCAGAGAAGTTAAGTAACTTGCCTGAGGTCATTTAAATGGTGGAATAATTAGCAGAGTATTCATCTTCTGAGACCTTCAGTGCTTTACTGCCTCTCTCAGGACACCTGAAAGAAGGAGTAATTCATTTTGATTAGAGGATTAAGATGGGAGGTGGCATTCAAACTAAACCTTAAAAGAAAAATGGGAGAAAGGAACAGCATAGCAGGAGCCTAAAAGTAGGAAAAGGCAAAAAAAAATTTCAAGAGAATGCAGTGTGGAGGCAGGGCATGTAAGTGGATGTCATGGGAAAGAAGGCAAGCCAAAGCTGGCCAAGAGGCTTTAGTTACTGCACAGATGGGAGCCTGAGCTTTATCCTGTGATCAGGGCTGTAGACCAGCCAGCCATGTGCTGGCTGAAGATTTGGCTACTGCAGTGTTTAGGGAGTTAATTCGGTTTTTCGAATAGGTAATCCATGCACAGGGTGCAAACTTCAAAAGGATATTCAGGGAAGAATAAATTCCTTCCTCCAGTGTTTTTCCCCTCCACAGAGGCAATCATTGTTAATGTTTTGTTGTTTTTTTTTAAACCAGTGTTCTTTTGTAAAGTCAGAGCCAACATTAAAAATAAAACACTAAAAAATATGAAATTAAAAAAAAATAATAAGAAGATACTATCCAGCTTGTCTTGAAACATGAGATCATTTGGCTCAGAGACCCAGCGAGTTCCCCTCACCACAGGTCCCACCACGCATTGTTTCCCTCACTACAAAGCAGAGTGCTACTTCATTGCATGTGCTATAGTTTTTCTTATACTAAACTAGTGTTATTCTATGTTCATGTCTCTGTCAAAAATGAGAGACTATGGGTTTCAACCTTTAGTTTATGGACAGCAGAAAACAGCTGTATGCCATTAATCCTAAATTCAAGTGGAAGTAATAAGTCCTGGGGTCAGAGGTAGAGGGAAGTCTTGGCAGAAGAACTCTTTGGAAGTTTTTCAGACCAGATGGGACTTGTTGGGGGAAGTATATTTGTGAGTCTTAAAGCCAAAGAAACGCCCCTTTAGTCATCACACATGTACTTGGAGTATTAGGTCACCCATTACATAATCTGCAGTAATTCTCATTTTAACTCATGAAGGCTTCAGACTGAATAAACCTTACTCATACAGATACCTTTCCTCATTCTGTCACAAAATAGATGCAGAGGAGGGCACTTTGGAAATTATCTGCCAAAATTAAAATGGATTAATCCTTGACATTTCCACTTTTACAAATTTAGAATTTGTGGACCCTTTCGCACAAAATACCTAGAGTGTGTATTCCAGGATACTCATTAAAGCATTGATTATAATAGAAAAAAAAAAAAAGAGAGAAACCACCTAAATATTTGTCACTATAAGGCTAGTTTCAATAAATTATGGTATATCTAAAGATTAGAATATTATACAGCCATTAAAACAAAATGAGAACCAGGTGGGGTGGCACATGCCTGTAATTCAAGCACACAAAAGGCTGAGGCAGTAGAATTAAGAGTTCCAGGCCAGCCTGGGCTGCATAATGAGACCTTGTCTAAAAACCAAAAAATAAAATAAATAAAAAGAACTAGAGTGCTTTAAATATTTAAGGAAATATTTTAAAAATCAGGGACAGGCCAGGTACTGTTGGTTCATGTCTGTAATCCTAGCTACTTGGGAGGCTGAGATAGGAAGGATTGTGGTTCAACCCAGGCAAATAGTTTCCAAGATTCCATTTCCAAAATAATCACAGTAAAATGAACTAAGGTATAGCTCAAGCGGTAGAGTACCTACTTTGTAAGCATGAACTGAGTTCAAAGCCTAGTTCCACAAAAAAAAAAAAGTCAAAGACAAAGTACTGTACGTACTATATTCTGTGTCTGTAAAAAAGGAAAAAATATATTTGTATACATTCCTATCAGTATACAGATATCTGGAAGGATGTGTGAGGCACTACTGTACTATCTGTCTCTAGGTGGTTAGAGGCAGAGTGAGATGGAGACACACCTTTCTGTATCCTTATGGCTCTTTTAAATTTGTGTTATTCATTTCAAAATAACAGTAATTAAAAAATATATAAATACCAAGTTCTTTTTTTTTTGAGACAAGCACAGGCCGACCTTGAACTCATGATCATTCTGCCTCAGCCACCCCAGTGCTGGAATTACAGGTGTGCACCAATGCCAAGTTCTAAAACCATAACTTCAGACTACCATAATGGCAAACTGATATTAACTTCATAGGTTAACTCAGGAACGCTTCATAATTGAGATCACAAGATACTCTTATTATCTATTGCCAAGTCCTAGTTAATTTGTTGTTGAGAATATCAAAATGCATTTTCCCCTTCTAGAAACAGTGTCCTAGGTGGTATTTGGATTTCTTGACTGTATCAAAGTCCAAAGAACACAGAATGCAGCTGAATTATAGGCCTATTAACCTAAGTCACCATCTCTAGCACTCTGGCGGAACCACCCCAGTCTTCTACTCAGCAGGACTCTCTCTCTAACTAAATCAGAAAGCCAGGGGACTAGCGTGTGCTTGAATATCAACCAGCTAGGAGCACATGGGGATGTGTGAGGGATGGGAGTTGGGTTGTGTGGATGTGGTTTAGTAACCATTCTGGTTCAAATTCTAGTACCAGCTGAATGTATTTTTGGACTCAACCTCTGTCTCAGGTCCTTTATCTGTTAAGTATGAATAGTAATAGTATCTCCCTCACAGGGTTTCATGAAGCCATCTTAAATATTTAATATAGTACTTTCCATATAGTAAGTGCTCAGTCATTTTGTGGGCTTTTTGTTTTGTTTTGCTTCTCATTTTAAAAAAATGTACAGAAATATTCACAGAATCTGGAAGCTCTCTTTGTACCACTAATCTGCAGTTGGTTTGTTCTCAATAAACGTAGGCCAGACTGTTTGTAGGGTTACATTTTCAGGAGGACACTCCATTCACAGGTGCTCTACACCTGCTCCACACTCTCTCTCTTTCTGTTTCTCTCTCATTGATCAGGTGGTGAACTATGCCCCTTTCACACTGTTCCCCTCACTGGTCCCCAGTGCCCTGCTAGAGCAGGCCTATGCTGTGCAGATGGACTTCAACCTGCTTGTGGATGCTGTCAGCCAGAACTGTGCTTTCCTGGAGCAAACTCTGTCCAGGTACCAGGTCGAGAGACTTGGGAGTGGGAGGATAGAGGTAGGGGCAGGACCCGCTAGAAACAAGGGACAGGAAGACTGGGGAGCCATGAGGTGTTGCTATGTCAGCTAACTTGGAGAAATAGAGGAAGGTACTCCCTCCTGTCAGGGGAAAAACACAGAGTAGTAGAATGGGAGTCAGGAATGCTGGTTTCTAATCCTGGCTTTACCGCCTGTTCATATGGCCTCAAACAAATCCTTTTCCTTCTCTGGGCCTCAGTTTCTCATCTGAAAAATGAGGAGAGTGGCTTAAATCTAAAGCTCCTTCCAATATTGACATTCTGTGATTCTGTAATTCCTGACCCCCTACTTTTGAGGACTAAAATTTCCATTTGGAATTAGGGAAGGTCAACCTAGTTTTGGAGGAAAACTGAGAACAGGGAAGGTTATTGGTTTAAAGTCAGATTTCCTGCTTCTTCTAAGCAGTGACCTTGTCTTCTCACCTCAGGCCTCTTATCTTTGAGTGGGAAAGGACACAGACTGGGCCATGAGATGGCTTACCCCACACACCTCTCTGTCTCCTTAGATCTTTTTTTTTTTTAAATTCAGATCCTGGGACAAGTGAAATTTCTTAGTTTATTTTAGAATTAAATATAAATTCTAAATTATAATTTAAAATGTCATATATATTTATATATGCTAGGCATATATATATAATTGTATAAATCATTTCTGTATTAAATTTTCAACAGAAAACTAGATTATTTTGTTTAAGACAAAAATCTTTTTCAAATGTGCCCCATAGTGTGAGAGTGAATATGAAAAGGGATTGCATTGATATGTGGTTTGGTAACCATTGACTTAGAGCCAAAAGTCCAGTTGGTCATGAACGTATGAACCCTACCACCACCTTCTTTCTCAGGATGGGCTGTTTTGTATCCAGGATTCTAGATTGTAGTAACTATGAGCAGCCTGACTTGTCACCTCAGGGAGACAGCCTAGAGCCCAGGGTTGAAGGATATCTCTTCAAAGGGAAAATGTATCCCAGTTTTCTTGGAGGCTGAGGCCAAATGGGACCTTTCCTCCTTACCAAGCTGGGAAAGGCCTATGAGAGAACTCACCCTTGGAAGAGCTGGGTGGGAGCAGAGGAACTTCAGGACAGGCCATAACTACTTGGCTACCCCCTCCGCTCTGCCACAAGGTCTCTATAACTGGATGAGCCTACTGGCCTGGCTTGGGCAGAAGTGCAGAGTCCACCCTGAATCTTGAGAAGAAACAAGTGTGGTGTTAATGGTCTATGAACTCCTCCTCATTGTGCCTCTTTCTAAGGGTCCAGAAAACAATACTGGAGGGGCCCCTACTCCATGTCACATGTTACAGTGGCACACTGGGCTGTGATGATGAGCCCACTCAAACTGGCCCCACTTTCATGCAGTTTATAGTCAAGCAGGAGGGATGACACTAGTCATCACACAAATAAAATGGAAAATTGCATCTGCAGTCAATATCGTAAAGAGAAGCCAAGTGCTGTGAGAGCACCTTGCAGGGGAATGTGACCCAGAAAGCAAAGGCTTGTCCGAGAAAACCACATCAGATGAGGACTCATTGAAAATGGAAATCAGGAATTTAGCTGGGTCTGAAAAATCTTATTGGAGTACAGGGTATAACTGCCCTGGGGGGCTGTCATGGAGGAAAAGGAAACCTATCTTGGGAGATACCAGAGTGCAGGGGAAGCTATGGAGAGTTATTTTCAGCTCAGCCAGACAGGCTGTCAACAGTCAGAGCTCTTAAAGTATAGAGTTGTTATATCACTTGCCATATTAAAATTTTTCTTGGAACCAGAACATGTTCAATTTTTTGAGAACAATGTCTCATTTACTCTTCATCACAACTATAAGTACAATTATTTTCCTCTTCATTTTAGTTGAGTAAACTATGATACAGAGAGGCAAAATGGTTCTCTGAGGTTATCTAATAATGGGTGGTAGAGCTGGGATTTGAACCCAGATCATTGGCTCTGGAGCTGGATTTTTGTTTGTTTGTTTTTGAGACAGGGTCTTGCTACATAGCCCAAACTGGCCTCAAACTTGAGATCCTTCTGTCTCAGCCTCCTGAGTGCTGGAATTATAGTATGTGCCACCATGCCTAGCTATAGCTGGAATGGGTTTTTAAGTTTGGGCTAGTAAACCCAGAGATGATTCAGGAGTCAGTGGTTGGGGATAGGATTTCTTGACCTTTAAGGTCCCTTGTAGCCTAGAAAAAGTTCTCTGTTTTCTCCTCCAGCACTATCAAAAGAGACAACTTCACTGCTCGTCTCTTTGATATCTACAAGCAAGTCCTGAAAGAGGGCATTGCCCAGGTAACCATTCCCAGCATACCCTTCTGGAACCTATACCTCTCATCTCTGGTGTTTTGTTTCCTTTTGGTTTTGTTTGTTTTATTTTCATCAAAGCAATTGGTCCCAGCCTTGAACTCATGGGAATCTACCTCTGACTGTTCCCATTGGTTTTGTACATCCCAATGACAATCATGGATGACCAGAAGTACAATCCTACTGGATTTAGGAGTATTATCTGGTGTTTCTTATCTCTCCATAGAGTTCATGGTACCTCTCTGCTCTATGGCTGGACCAGCAAAGTCAGTCCCAGGGCAGATGTCCTCAACCTTCAGTTTTCCCCACAGACTGTGTTCCTGGGCCTGAACCGCTCAGACTATATGTTCCAGCGCAATGCAGATGGCTCCCCAGCCCTGAAACAGATTGAAATCAACACAATCTCTGCCAGCTTTGGGGGCCTGGCCTCCCGGACTCCAGATGTTCATCGGTGGGTTCCTTGGGCAGCTGTGGGCACACCTGTGGGGAACAGCCTGATGGACCTGCACTCATTACTGAGTCAGGGATCTCCAACTATAACTATGCCTTCCTAGGCCCTTGGTCATGTGTTCTCCCCACCCTCATCCACCCCCTGCAGCACAGTTTTCACTTGTAATCAGATCTTTAGTATGTCAGAGAGAGAAGGGACCTACCTAATGGCTTATCTAGTCCTGCTCCTTGGTTATGCAACAAGTTATCCAGGCAGAGGGAGTAGTATCTCTGAGGGGTCTATAGTGAGATATGTTTGACATATCTGAGGGCCTGAAAAGAGAGGGGAATGAAAGGGCTTCCACCTGAGGGCTGGGCTATTGTAATAGCCATTCCCAGCTGGCAGGGATGCTCCAGGTTACTGTGATTCCAGATTGTCTGCAGCAGGATTCCAGACAACACCTGGATCCCTGGGTAAGGGGATCTAGCTCACTTGGAGGCTGGCATGGAGAGGAATAGGGATGCAGGGTCTCAGGACTCCTCTGGGTATGTATATCAGGGGCCAATGTGGGCACAGCCCAGCCTATTCCATTTAAAGTGAGTCCTCCAGGAGTGTGATGGTTAAGATGCTTTTCAGTGTTCAGTTGATTCTCAGGGTAATATTCCTGTATGTATCTCTAAGGTCATGGGGAGAGAGGTCTTCTAGCCCATCCAATTACTGAATATCCATCTCTCTTCCAACAGACATGTTCTCAATGTCCTGAGTAAGACCAAAGAAGCTGTTAAGATCCTCTCCAATAATCCCAGCAAGGGAATGGCCCTGGGGATTGCCAAAGCCTGGGAGCTCTATGGCTCTGCCAAGTAAGCATGTGAAAGAAGTGGCAACAGTATCCTGCTTTAGATTCAGCATTTATGAGGGCAGCAGCTGCTTCTTTGCTAGACATCATTAAGGAACGAAGAGATTTTTCTAGGAATAGAAACCTATACCTTTAAGTGCCAAAATTATTTTAATGGAGGTTTGGGCTTCTTTTTCTTTTTTGGTGGGAATGGAGTTTGAACTGAGGGCTTTGTACTTGCAAAGCAGCCTCTCTACCACTTGAGCCATACCTCCAGTCCATTTTGGAGATGGGATCTTGAAAACTTTTTCTCTGGGCTTCCCATGAACTGCAATCCTCCTGATCTCAACCTCCCAAGTAGTTTGAATTACAGGCATGCCTGACTTGGGGTTCCTTCTTAAATCAGAGATGCTGACTTTAAATTAAACTTTCCTTGTTTAGAGGTCATAATTATGACTATTGGTGATTTTGGCTTGCTGTAATACAGAGGTTCTACCTAGGATTAGAGAAGTATATGAGGCTCTTTGCCTGCACTGGAAGCTCTACTGCTAAACTTTAAGTTCTTATTCATTTTTTTCATAGTTCTCCTGTGTACTTCTCGATTATCAGCTTTAATGTTTTACTGCTGTCAGTGTGCTTCAATTTGGAATCCTACACTACTATCCCTATAGCTCCTTTTTGATTGTCTGTGGTTTGGAAAAACAAAAGGTCAAGTTTGTTATGATTATGTCCAAATAGTGGGAGGACCTCTTTGATGAATAAATGCATAAGATTTGATTTAGGAGTTTTATGGTGTCTATTTTGACTGCTTAGAGGTATTTTTTGCTTTCTTCCTATTTCTCAACCATGTTCCAGATGTATGAAGATGCTAGGTAAGTAACTTCCAGATAATTGAAGGGACATGATACTAATAGTTATTGCAATGTAGCAATTATAATATATAATATATATATAATATAGCATTAATAATAATCCCTTATTGAGCACTTACTAATGCCACACCTTAGGCTAAGTGAGTTATATACAAGGTCTTGTAGAATGCTCATAACAAATGCCCTGAGGTAGGTACTATTCTTCTCCCCCATTTTACAGATGAGGAGACTGAGATTAATAAAAGTGAAGTGATTTGTTCAAGGTACATGTTGAGTTGGTGGCAGGCCCCAGAGTCAAGCTTTCTACAGCTTGTGTTTATAATCACACTGTTGCCTTCAAGAGAGCTTTTATGGGCTTGCTGAGCCTCATTAAAGCCCAAGAAACATGAAACTGAACATTCAAAAGTCACCAGACAAACATTTTGTCAGATAGAACTCTTGGCTAGGTTTAATTTCAAGAGAGTGAAGCCAGGGGATGGGTCATCTGAGAAACTGCTGATAGATAAACACTGTTGAGGGCTTCTTCTGCAAGGCTGTGAATAACATGGAGAGAAAAGACTTATATGCTCAGTATTAGGTGCTGGTGGGTAGTATTTCTGTGGCACCTGAGCTGAAACTGGCTTTGCCCATTATAAGAGTGTGACAGGCTCTTCTGCTGATGCAGCACAAGAACTTGGCAAGTAACTTCTTTTTTCTGACCTTTAGTTTCCTTATTTGTAAGGAAGAGGTGATAGTATCTAAAAGGGTGGAAGTAAAAATTAAGTAAGATCATGGATCTGAAAAATGCTTTTTAAAAATTCTGTGGAATGGATCATTATGTGACTTATTCAACAATATAGGAATAATAAAATGATAGCTATCATTAGATGAATTTTACGTGAGAGCAAACGGAGTGTCAGAAGTAATTTACCCAAAGTAATACAACCAGTAAGTTTAGAATTCATTTATCTCTAAAACCTGGGTTCTCTCTACTACACTGTTCTACCTCCAAGAAGTATGGTCCTATAGTATGGATTGAGGAACTGAAGCTCAAACATTTGTAGAGCAGATTTTTTTAAAGATTTTTTTTTAAGGGCTGGTGGTGTGACTCATGTTCAAACCACAGTACCACAAAAAAAAGAAATATTTTTCTAAAGGAAGCCTGGAAAATGAATTATGATTTCAATTTAGACACGCTCTTTCAAAACATGGACCTGTAATTAGAATGAGTAGTATAAGGAAAGGGGATTCTCAGTGTTAAAAAATTGAGAACTAGCCTGGCATGGTAGTACATGCCTATAATCTCAGGACTCAGGAGGCTAAGGCAGGATTGTGAGTTCAAGGGTAGCCTGAATCACATAGTGAGTTAAGGCCAGTTTGAGCCTGTCTCAAAAAGAAAAGTTGGAAACTATGATCAGATTAACACCTTTGCTTAATAAATGGGGGGAAACTGGCTTGCCCAAGGACACACTACAAGTCACTGGCAGAGCCAAGATTAGAACTCAAGGGTCCTCTCTCTCAGCCAGCATGCCATTGCCACTTCACCTTTCTTAGCTGACATCTTTCACAGTCCTATGCAGTTCAGACTGCTTATGAGGAGGCAGATTATGTTTTCTGAGTCTGGCTCCCATCGTTTGACAGTTGGCAGGCCAGCTTAATTAGCCAGAGCATGCAATTTTGCTTTAACCTCCAGCCTTCTTCCTCTGCCTCTTCTTGGAGTTGGGCCAGCCCAGGCCAGGTGCCACCCTCCCACACATACCTACCATTGAGCAGAGCAGTTCAGGCTGCAAAATGAAGAGCAAGGCCTTTGGCCCTTGGGACTCTCTTAGGGCAAGATTGCTTATGAGAACACCACTTCTAGCTTATCTCTCAGATGAAGACTCAGCTTAATGTCATGTCTGACCTCATGAGATTTCAGGTAGGCGTTGAGAGGGGACATACCAAGACCTGTATTTTGGCCAAGTGGAAAGAAGTTAGGGAAACACAGTTTAATCCATGAGGTTTAGCTAAGGTAAGGAGAAACAGAGACAAGCAGGTAAGAGGCTAATGTAAGAGGCCAGGAATATATATTTAGCATTCTAAGCCAAAGTCTGGGGCTTCCAAGGGTCTTAGCAAGAGGCCACAGGCACAAAGCAGTGCAGCTACAGCAAAATGGAGTCTGCTACTGTTAAGAATCAGCCTTATGAGAATGGTGGAAGACTGAACCTATCTTTGACACTGCAGATAGCTTAACTGGCAGACAGAGGAAGAGACCCAGTAAGCCTCAGTGATACCATTAATAGGAAACCAGGGATGGGAGTTTAATTCGGTGCTAGAGTGCTTGCCCCCACAAGGTCCTGGTTTTGAACCCTAGCACTGCAGTTGTGAGACTAGACATGGTCCTATGGTCAGAAATGATGGTAGGCCCCAGGAGCTAATACCTTATTTGTAGTTGGCTCTGAATTTCTGTAGGGTTTCATTTAGGTATTCTAATTTTTCATATAAAAACCACATTCCTTTATTATAAGCTTTATAATCTAGTAAGAGACATTAGCACCTTACCCCAGCATTGTTCATTTATAAAATATTCTTCAATACTCCCACCTGTTTATTCTTTTAGACAGATTATAGAATCATTATGTTCTAAGAAAAATATCCTCTAGGGTTTTTGAGGTGGTTTTAAATCTAAATTCTAATTTGCACAGAAAATTGACATCATTACAATATTTCATCTATCCCCTGGAGAAGGGGCAGATTGGGCAGTTTCCTCTTCTTAGGAAAGAATGTGTTATTGCTTTAGGTGTCTATGCCTAAGGCAATCCCAGTTGGGGGAACATCTGCTTTTTCAGGAAAGCTCTGTTCTCATTCCTAAAGGGGGTGAAACAGAGGAAGGACAAACTCTGCAGCAGCTTCCTGCCATCTGTGCTTTTTCTCCAGTGCTCTGGTGCTACTGATTGCTCAAGAGAAGGAAAGGAACATATTTGACCAGCGTGCCATAGAGAATGAGCTACTGGCCAGGTAGATAAAGGAAGAGACTTTTAGATGTGTCTTCATGGGGGAGGGCCACTCAGAACATAGCATCCACTGGTCCTTTTGATTCTTGTCCATCTTTCCCAGGAACATCCATGTAATCCGGAGAAGGTTTGAAGATGTCTCAGAAAAGGGATCCCTGGACCAAGACCGAAGACTGTTTATGTAAGCATCCCCAAAGGAGTAGATGGCTGCTTTATGAAACTCTCCTATTACACTCTTTCATCAAATGATCTTTTCTTCTAGAAGATGTCATGGCTTGTTTTCTTCTCTCCTAATTTCTGAAACATCTCATCCTCCCAGGAAATTTTGGAGGCCAGCTAATCTCTGCTTCTAAAATGTATATCAAAGCTATTGACATTCTGGATAATGATATTACCCTAAAGATAACTTTGGTTTTCATAAGCCCCTAAGGCCCCAAAAGGTTTCTTTCCCCTCTTTATGGCTGGTTAAGTCTGAACTGACCAATTGGGCTAGGCAATCAGGGAGCCAGAGGGGCAGCTGGCTCATTCTGTGATTAATCTGGATGCTACTCTGAGCTCAGGCCTGGATTTGTCTTCCAAGAAAGGTCCTATCCTTCTACCCAGGGGCCACCACAAGGTGGCTTTAGTGCCACATATTTGGATAGCATTGCAGAATATATATTTGACCTGGAACTTTGTGAATGTTGAAGTTACAAACGTACATGGAATTTCACAGTACCACTTACTATATTTCAAAATGTGCCTTTATCATAACAAAACAAAGTGTTTACTTTCCAGATAAACCAGGTAATATTAGTAGATCCCAGAAGAGGGAAAGAAGTTTAAAAACCTGTCTGTGTCCTAGCTGGGCACCAGTGGCTCATGTTTGTAATCCTAGCTACTTAGGAAGCTGAGATCAGGAGGATGGTGGTTTGAGGCCAACCTGGCCAAACAGTTTGCAAGATTCCATCTCCAAAATAACCAGAGAAAAATGGACTGGAGGTGTGGCTCAAGTGATAGAGCTCCTGCTTTGCAAGTGTGAAGTCCTGAGTTCAAGCCCCAATACTATCAAGAAAAAAATCTGTTCGTGTCTTAACTGGACTCATATTTTTGTGCACCCCACCACCATTTTAAGAAATGGTGTCAGCTTCTTTAAGCAGTGAAAATGGAAGTCTATTTTCCCAAGTATGGCAATATAATTCTGCTCATCACTAATTTTGAGTCCACATGTTTTTGAAATTACTCTGGTTACTTTCTTGTTTCCCTATAATCTGCTCAGAATGACCCATGGTCTGATGTACACCTCTGTGTTTTTAGTGGCAGCACTGTAGTGTGGTTGCCTACTTTCACTGATTCCAGTGTAACCCTGTCCTGTCTCCATCCCTAGACTGACTTTCAAAAAAGCAAATGCATTTTGATGTACCCTGAAACAGATTGAAACACTGACTACATCAGTTATAATTTAACACAACAGCTTTTCCCATTCTATGTTCTAGGGATGGCCAGGAAATTGCTGTGGTTTACTTCCGAGATGGCTATATGCCAAGTCAGTATAGTCTACAGGTTGGTATTTTCTGTTAGACTGTTCTTTGCCTCCTGGGACCCACTAGAGCACTACAGAGACCCAACACAGATGTCACAACAACCAGGGTTTTTTTCTCTTGAGTCCTAATTTCACTTCATCCTCTGGGAACCTGCTGCTGAAATCTCTTCTCCTCCTGCAAGCTTTTTGCTATCTTTCACTCTACAAACACTGTCTTCTAGAATCTGAGTCTTCAGAAATCCACAGTGCTTTAGACACATGCACATTTTCCAGAGATATGCTGACAAAAGTGTTTAACAGACATCTTTCAGGGTGCAGGTGAGTCTCAGTTTTTAGCATTTGCTGATTTCTGTAGTGTAATTTTGAGCTACCCAACTTAACATCTCTAACATAGAGTTGGGAAGAGTTGGGTCCAATCAGTACTCACTAGCTGAGGCAAGTCAGTTCGAGCACACTACTGACAGTTTTCTTCCTCTTTGCCTCTCCTTTATCTGAGTCAGAAAGTTTTTAATCATGTCCCTAGCAGTAATGATGCTATCCTACCATGTAATTTCAAAATAACTTTCCACATCCATTATTTCATTTAACTCTTACAACCAACCTCTGAGGCATATAGGAGTGATGCAGAGGTCCCACAGAAATTCCCAGGCTTTCTGACTCTCAGGCCAATAGTATTCCCAGTATACCTTTCTCCTCCCCTGCTCCTAACATCCATACCGTGAAGAGGATAAGAAGCACTGCTTTCATGTGGGAAAAGGTAAAGGAGGAAATACATTAAGAAATACCATGGGTAGTGGGCTAGGAGTCATGAGCTGAACTTTGGCTCTATTTGACTATGGGCAGGTTCACCACTCTTCCTGGGTCTCAGTTTCTGGGAGTGGGAAGTGCACTTGATAATTAAGGGTGCTCCTTACAGATCTACAGTTTATCTAGGATTCCCACCAGGATTGAGCTCTGTAGGGGGCAGCTCTAAGGAAGATCCTTTCTCTTAGAGAGGTGGTTAGCAATGCTGGGGACTTGCTGGCTTAGAAAAGAGAGAAATTGTCTGTTGAGAAAATGGATTCAAGTTTCAGGACAGGGGATGTGGGGAGGGGCCAAAGAAAATTTAAAAAGAGAAGAGGGTGAGATAATAAAAAAGGAAAGTGGAAAGTGACATACATAGGAGATGGACTTTTTAGGAACTGAGAAGCTCAAAGTAGGTTTAAAACGTGGAAATAGATCTACAAAGTTTAGTAACTAGTTTTATGACACTGAGAAAGTCTCTGCTTGTGTTTGGGTTTTGTTTTCCCTGCTTCTGACATAATGGGTACTCCTCTGGGTTTATTTCATGTTCTGGACACCTGTAACTGCCTGGAATACCAGACTAGTGTTAGGTGACTGGAGTTATTGGTGAAAAGCAGGTAAAGGTTCTGCAATGGGCAGCATTGGGTGGGGCAGGAGTTACTCCTCATGTGTTATCCTTAATCCTACTGTGAGCAGTTTGCCGTGATCTGGAGCCAAGAACAGATTGTCTCCTTAGTGCCTGAGAATGAGAACCAGGCATGATCCTCTGCCATTTCACTGCTTCTTACATTCTTTTTTTTTTTCCCTCTGTGGTACTGGGATTTGAACTCAGGGCCTACACCTCAAGCCATTCCATCAGCCCTTTTTTTTGTGTGATAGGCTTTTTTGAGATAGGGTCTTGCAAACTATTTGCCTGGGCTGGTTTCGAACCTCAGTCCTCCTGATCTCTGCCTCCTGAATAACTAGGATTACAGGTGTGAGCCATCAGCGTCTGGCTAATATATTTTAAATTCCTGGTACAACAGACCATTCTACCTTTAAGCCTTTGTTCATATTATTCCATTAGCCTGAGTAACCCCCTCTACTGAATCTCACTATCATTCTGCCTATCATTAGGGTACTACCCAAATTTTATTTCATTCAGCAACAATAACAAATATTTATTGAAAACCTATACTATGAAGTACCAGAAACTGCATTTCTGTGGAGATATACCAGAAAAAAAAGGGAGGGGGGCAAACAACAGGGTCTGGTTCTTATGGAGCTCATAGTCTGGTCAGGGAAATGAACATCAGAAAGTAAGCAAAACTAGAAAAAAATTTTGGGGTGGGGGTTGCTGGTAGTGTAGCTCAAGAGGTAGAGTGCCTGCCTAGCAAGCCTGAGGAAACTAAGTTCAAACCCCAGTATCGCCCTCTCAAAAATGTTTTTGAGGCCTTGTTTTTGTTTTGGGGTTTTTTTTTTTTTTTTTTTTTTTGAGACAGCGTCTTACTTTGTGGCCCAGTCTGGCCTCAAATTTGTGATTCTTCTGACTGCTGAGATTACAAGTGTGAACCACCACATTCAGTTCAAAAAAATATTTTTCCCCTTGTTGAAAAATAATTGCTTTTAATGAAACAGTGGGGTGAAAGGATAAAAAATTATGAGGAAGCACATATTAAATAAGGTGGTCAGGGAAAGCTTCTCTAAAAAGGCACTGAACCAAAATACAGGATGAGAAGGAGCCAGGTGTCTTGGTGTACTATGTAATCCCAGTACTTGGAAGCTGAGGCCAGCCTAGGCTACAAACCCTGCCTTTAAAAAAAAAAGTGTGGGGGGGTATGTGAGTGAGAAGGATCTAACCATCTATGGGAAAAGCCAAAAGGAAGAGAATTTTAGGTAAAAGGAAAAACTGACAGGAGCTAGCTCATGCAGGGTCTTGTAAGCCACAGTAAGGTGTTTGGATTTTACTGTATGATCTGGTGAGAAACAAGAGTTTTGGAGTACTAGATTTTATTTGGAAGACAGTGGGAAACTGAGCTCATAAACAAGTGTCCTATACCCTTCAAACCTCCAGATTAAGCCAGGTATCAGGTGTGCTAGCATATACCTACAATCCCACCACTCAGGAGGCTGAGGCAAAAGAATTACAGGTTCAATGCCAGCCTGGGCTACATAATGAAACCCTGTCTCAAAAAAGAAATCAATTTTTCTATACCCTTACAAAAGACTGTTTTCCCTTTTCTCATTTTCTCTTTAATTATGGTCATATATCAGTGTGCTAGACTATGAGCTTCCTAAAAGCAAGAGTCCGGGAGATTGAGAGAGGCTACACCTGCCTGGCAAGGATGTTACAATGATCCTGGGAAAAAACTGATTTGAAGATAAAAAACACAATACCTGGCACTTGAAGAATATGCATTTTGTCAACCGAAGTGAAATAAAGTAAAATTCCTTTCATCCTCTTCTCTCTGCAGAACTGGGAAGCACGCCTACTGGTGGAGAGGTCATGTGCTGTCAAGTGCCCAGACATTGCCACACAGTTGGCTGGGACTAAGAAGGTGCAGCAGGAGCTGAGCAGAGAAGGCATGTTGGAGTTGCTGCTCCCTGGCCAGCCTGAGGCTGTGGCCCGCCTCCGTGCCACCTTTGCTGGCCTCTATTCACTGGACATGGTACATATGCAGCCTACTTCTCCTACCACAGCTCTCCTAGGTGGCAAAGACCTGGAGCCCAATGTGTTGTGGAAGGTAGAGCTGGCATTATGGTTGCCATTGTGACTTGGGTCCATGATGCCCTGAAGAACCTCTGGAGCCTTGGGAAGAGATAGCCTCAGGGGCTAGAATCCACTGTAAGCTTCCTCAGCTAAGGTAGAGATAGGGATGGCAACCTGGGGAAGGGACTAAGGCAAGTATCAAGAATTGGGGAATATCTATACTCAATTTCCAGACCGCCTTGCTGCAGATCCCTGTATTGCTAAGAGAAAGACCTGTTCTTGGGTTTACTGCTGCAAGGTGTTGGTTGGGGTTTATATGCAGATAGAAGCATCCAGACTAAAGGAGCTTATGGCTGTTTCTGCTCCCTGCTTTCCCCTGATGCAGCTCGCATGACCAGCATGACTTCAGCTGCCTCTTTAGCCTTAAGATTGCTAGTGACTACTTTCTGCCTCCTGCCAGGGAGAAGAAGGGGACCAGGCCATTGCTGAGGCTCTCACTGCCCCTAACCGGTTTGTGCTGAAGCCCCAGAGAGAGGGTGGAGGTAGGTGGATCCTCCTCTGCAGGGCTGCTCAGTGAAAGGGCCTAGCAGGCTGCTGCCATTGTTCACAGGCTTAATAGCTTTAAGAGGGACATAGATATCACCATGGAGAATGGGTGGGTTTGGTCTGAGTGCTTGCAGGTAGATTGTAGGGAAGCAGGGTGAGGGTGTTTTAAGAGACTTGAGGGAATACATATCTCCTTGCCTACTTTGAAATTCTTTGAGGTCAGGAAACATGTCTGTCTCAGATATGATGATTTTTGATCTGGATTTAACAGGTAGGTTGGAGTTTCCCAGGTAGGAAAGTGGGAAGAACATTCTAAGCAGAAGGAAACTCAAGTAAAGGCACTGGACTATGAAACCATGGAATGTTTGAAAATTAATGGGAAACTGGGAAGGCTGGAGTAGAAGTTATGAGGAGGCCCGAAGCTGGACTAGGAAAGACCATTTGAGACCGATTATAAAGGGCATTGAAAATATGTTAGGAAATTGGATTTTATCCAAAGGGTAGTAGAGTTTTATGCAGGGAAAAGACACAAGGTCAATCCAAGATCCAAGTGATAAGCAGTAGTGAGAATTTGCAAAACTTACAGTGCTTCAGCCATTACAGAAGATTTCCTAGAATGAGGGGAGACATTGATAAGAATACTTAAGTTAAAGACTTGGGAGTTAACTTATAGGGTATAGGTAGAGCCTCGGAAATGGAAGCAATCTCCCTGAAAGAAAAAAAAAAAGGCACATGAAAAACAAAGCAAGAGTGAAGGACCAGTTCTAACATTTAAGAAGAGATGTAATCAGTAATGAAGGCTGAGAACATCTGTAGATAGATAGGATGAGAACAAAGCAGGGTGTGGTCATAGGTGTATTCAGTTGTATAAGGGCTCTCCTGTCAAGGAGACCTTCCTTTCTCAGCAGTCAGATGTGCATTGATTTCACTGAGCTAGTGGCAGGAAGGGAGGCTGTTGTTTTGTCTACATGGCCCCAGAAGTGAGGGCAGGGGATGGAGAAGGTAGGCAGAGGCAAAGGGTCCAGGGTTTAATTGGCCAGTTTAATTGCAGGCAACAACCTGTATGGGGAGGAAATGGTGCAAGCTCTGGAGAGGCTGAAGGACAGCGAGGAGAGGGCTTCCTATATCCTCATGGAGAAGATTGAACCTGAGCCTTTTGGGAATTGCCTGCTACGGCCTGGCAGCCCTGTCCGAGTTGTCCAGTGCATCTCAGAGCTGGGAATCTTTGGAGTCTATGTCAGGTGAGCCATTCAAGAGGAGCTTTTTCCACTACCTCCCTGCAAGAGTGCTAGCCCAGCAAGCTTAGAAGGAACCCTGGTCTGAGTTAGCAACCCTGAGCTTTAGTCTCAGCTCTGCTGATCCCTAGCTTTGTTACTGGTTTTCTTATCTATTAAATGAGGACAAGGACTCAAGACCTGCCCACCTCATAGGGCTAGATGAGAGGTGCTTTACAACTATAAAGGAAATTCCAGGTAGTACCAAGAGGACTGAGAAAAGATGGTTTTGACAAGCAGGACTGGTAGGAGAGTCCAGGGAATAAGAGAGTTTGGGTCCAGTTCCAAGGCCACTAGGGATTCTGGAGAAAGGTGGGATGTATCAGCTAGAGTATATTCAGTGGCTTTGAAGAGCTGAGTAGACCCTGGGCTTGGATTTGAGCACTTAGAATCAGAAAGAGAGAAGACTTGGGAATTTCTAAGGAACAAGACCCTTGTGCCACTTCCTGCAAAATATTCACTTCAAGGTCAGGGCAAGATAGAAATACCAGATGCTGCAGTACTCCCTATAAGAGCCTGACCTCTCTACAATCTCTGTAACCACTTGCAGCATTCTCTGTATGACACTCCCCTCACCCCACTCACACTACCCCACAACCTTCTTGAGAGGAAGAGGAAATCTGTAGTTTGGGACATGAAATGTGAGTCTGGATCATGCTAAGTGCTTTTCCTCTTTATTTAATCCTCATAACCATCATGCAGAGTAAAGGGGTATTATCCTAATTTTAAATAGAAGAAATCAACCTTTAGAAAGGCTATGGAACTTGCTCAAAGACACAACTAGTTATTTCTAAGCTAGGATACAAATCTAAATCTGACTCTTAAATCATGGCATTTCTTGGGGATAGCCACTTACGCATGCATGTGCTGCTCAGCTGGGACCAGGGAAGGTTTGGTGATGTGTGTCTTCTGACATTATTTCTACAGGCAGGGAAAGACACTTGTGATGAACAAGTATGTGGGGCATCTGCTTCGAACCAAAGCCATTGAAGATGCAGATGGTGGCGTGGCAGCAGGAGTGGCAGTCCTAGACAACCCGTATCCTGTGTGAGGACATAACTTGGACTTCACTCAAGAGACCTTCTATCCCCTATACTTGTCATTCCTCTCCTAGTCCTCCTGAGAGGCTGCCCTCCTCCCATTAGAAGGGTTAGTCTCTGCCAGAGACCTCCAGGGTCTTCAAGGAAGGGTGAATGCTGGGTACCTTCCCTTAGCAAACCATCTGAGGATTAGAAAAGAGATGTTTCCTTTAGATGAGCTCTAGAGACCCCCAAATCTTTGGAATGTGGGAAGGGAAATTGTTCTGAGGAAAAGGTCTGTAAACCCTGCCACCTCCTGTTGGCCTTTCATCAGCCTTCCCAGCAGATTCCAATGCCTGATTTGAGATAGAACTGAATGATAGGAGGAGGGAGATGGAAGGGCATAGACTTTCTCTAGCTCTGCCTTAAATAAAATGACATTGCTAATTCAATGATTAATTGCATTGTACACAGAGAGGAGGGAGTAACTATGATCTAAGTCAGCTCACTTAAGGTAAATTAGAGCATGAAAAATGATTGGCCCTTATGGATTGGACCTTGAGATTCCAGTCACCAGTCACCCCAGTAATACTCCTACAGCTCATGGAAGGAGAGATGGCCTGGCAGGAACCCAGGTGGGAGAGCAACATGATGGGACATCACGGTTGTAAACTGACTTCAGTCACTACTGCTTAGCTCGGAGCTTGTCAGAGGTCCTGAGTGAAGTTTTGCCTAGCTCTTCCCCAACCAAAAGTTCTAGGAGAAAGATATTGGGGTTGTCCTAGGAAATACCACTCTCCTTCCCATCTGCCACACAAACCAGAGCAGCTTTACACATCCTGGGAGATACCTAAGAAAACCAATCACCAGTCTCTTGAGGTCACAGACTTTATTCCTATAACCGTGAGGCTTGAGCAGACTAGGACAAGAAAATAAGAGTTTAACCTGAGAGTGTCTCTCAGAGGCAGGGCTCTGTTCATGAAGTGTGGGACAGAACAAGGAAGACAAGTTCCTCTGATCCTAGGAATAAAACACATCTACTCCTTCAAAGAAGCAGGTGATCTGAAAACCCTCTGGAGACTGACCCAACAGTCATAGTCCCTGGAGCAAATGGGCAGTTATGCCATTTGAAAGGAAAATCAGATTCAGAATAGAAGTGCAAAGTATTTTAAAAATAATAATTATTCCTGGACTCACAGACTATCATTTAGGAAGGTAAGTGCATACTCAAGAGGTGGTGCTTCCTGAGAAAGCTGACATAGGGTTATGAGTTGCTGCCTTGCTTCAGTCCAGACCTTCATTTGCCCTCTAACTTGGTTTGGGGACATGGCTTTCAGGTCCCTGTTCTGGCACATCACTCTTGAGGCTACCCTGGCTCTGTCCCTTCTGCCTGGAAGTCACAGGAAACTGTCTCCACTCAGGGACAAAGTGTGGGCCAGCTCTGGCCCTCATCATTCCTGGAAGTGGGGCGGGGCAGGGCGGATGGGCAGAACTTTGAGCCAAGCAAGGGGAATCCTGGGCAAAGGACAGTCTTGTTCACTGGATGGTCAGGCAGCGGTGGCTGAAGAGGTAACTGATGACAGATGGGTCAGCCACTGTAGACGTGTCCCCCAGGTCATGGTCATTCTGAGCAATCTTCCGGAGCACTCGTCTCATGATTTTCCCTAGGGGACCACAGGACTCTGGTTATTTGGTGACAACAATGAGCCATCCCAGCCCTGCCAAGGACTTTTTTTCTTTTTTTTTTGCAGTACTGGGGCTTGAACTCAGGGCCTTCACCACTCCACCAGTCCTATTTTTTGTGAAGGGTTTTTTGAGATAGGGTCTTGAGAGCTGTTTGCCCAGGCTGGCTTCAAATTGTGATCCTCCTGATTGCTGCCTTCTGAGTGGCTATGATAACAAGCATGAGCCACGCGTGCCCAACTCCTGCCAAGGACTTTAATCCACATACTCCACCACCATTGGGCCTCAGCCCATCCCAATCCTTACAGGCCCCTGGACATACCTGAGCGGGTTTTAGGCAAGCCAGGTGCATTCTGGATGTAGTCTGGTGTGGCAATGGGGCCAATCTTTTCTCTAACTGTAACCAAATCATCAAGCACTTCTTTAGCTAGACTCTCAAAAGTCAAGGTAGAGCTGTTCCCCACTTGCTTCCTCTTCAAAGCCCTGCCTACAGAGTCATTCTCAGATTCACTCACACACACACACCCTTTTTTTTCTTTTCCCCCCTTTTAACAATCTCTTTATCCTCTTGTTTTATCATAACCCCTTTGGCTCTAGAATCACCCTGCTAGAGTTTAAATCCCATCTTTCTAAAAGTATAGCCTTGAGTAAGAGGTTTAACTTCTCTGTGTCTGAGGTTTCTAGAATAACAATAGGATCTTTTTCACATAATTGATTATAGGAATTAGATAGGATAATGCATTCAAAGTACTGTACCCAGTGGTGGCACAGAGAAAGTATTCTAAAAATGTTGCTATTATTATTATCTTAGTGGAGACTGAGTGGGAAGAAATGTCAGTTCATGGGACCCCCTAGGATCTGTTCATGGTTTGGGGAACAGCTTGTGCAGCCCCTCCTCAATAACTTGCAGTCCCTGCCCAGGAGGCTCCTCACTCTGTTTCTTGAGCTCCTCAGTGAGGGTGGGGTTGAAGGTGTGGCCATCGCACAGTGTGACAAAGCAGTAGAGGCATTCACCCTTCACAGGATGCGGGTGGCCCACCACAGCTGCTTCTGCCACAGCCTCATGTTCCATAAGTGCTGACTCCACCTCTGCTGTACTTAGCAGATGCCCTTGTCAGGAGAAAGGAAATGCAATGAGAGAGATCTCAGCCCTTGCTTCATCTATACCCACAGGGAAGACCTGGTCTGGTCAAATGGGGAAGGTCCTTCCTTCCTCACATGGCATGCTTTCAGTCACCTCACCACCCTGGATCCCTCTTCTAGGCACATTCCAGTGCTCATCACTCTTCCTTCAAAACCTGGGCCCCAGAACTAAATGCCACATGCCATACAAAGGACAGCCCTAGCACTCTTGGAAGGCTTTGTCTGGGAGTTGCCAAGCTAATGAGATGGAAGAGGGTCAGAGCCCTCACCAGATACATTAAGCATGTCATCAGTTCTGCCAGTGATCCAGTAATAGCCATCCTGGTCCCGCCGGCAGCCTGGAAGAAACATACAACATAGTAAATGCCCACAGTAGAATACATAATCTACATTACCAAGCTGCCACATCCAATGTAGTAGCCTTCTAACAAGTCTTCTGCTTCTACTCTTGCCTACTGTGGCAGCCAGTCTCCAAGATAGATCCACTGATCTCCACCTCCTAGTATTTAATAGCCTTTCATAGTTCTCTTTTTCATTGAATAGGATTAGGCTATGTAATCACCAGAATGTGGTAGAAATAATGGGATGCTACTAATGAGGTTAGGTTATAGAAGACACTTTGATTTCCATCTTGGTGTATTCTCTCAGACCATTTGCTCTGGGGGAAGTTAGCTACCATGTTGTAAGTAACTCTGTGGAGAGGTCCAGGTAATGAGGAACTGTGGAAGCTGATCCTCCAAGCTCAGTCAGATCTTCAGATGACTACAATCCCTAACAGCTTGACTATAATACATGAGGGACCATGCTTAAAACCTTTCAGCTGAGGTGCTGTCAGATCCTGATCCTCAGAAACTATGTGAAATAATATGTGTTATTTTAAGCTGGCAACTTTGAAGATAATTTGTTCCACAGCAATAAATAACTACTAAACCCATCGTCTATTTTCTATAACTCAGGCAGTTATTTTCTAAACCGGAAATTAGTTCTTATTATTCTGTTAAAGCCCATACAGGTCTTCTACTATACTGTGAATAAAATACAGACTGCTTACCATGGTCCACAATACCTGATATCATCTACCTCTCCAAGTTTCATGTAATCTTCCCTGTGCTCATTACACTCCAGCCACATAGGCTTTAGTCCAATCCTTACATATTTCAAGTTTGTTTCCCCTGCATTCAACACTCTTATTCTAGATTTCCCTCTGCCTGGTTTCTTTTCACCCCTCAGGTGTCTGTTCAAATGTTACTTCAGAGAAACCTTCTCTGACCATCCTGTGAACAGTAGCCATCCCTGAAGACCTTCTTTAGCACATTATTTTCTTCATAGCACTTATTTCTATTTAAAATTAGCTTATTTGTTGGGTTGATTGTCTGTCTTCCTCCTTACTAGAATGCAAACCCCATGAAAGCAGAGACCTTGTCTATGTTGTTCATGGTAATACCCCTGTGCTTATTAGGTCAGTGCCTGGGCATAGCAGGGGCTCAACAAATATTTATGAATGACTAGACTGATAGATGGGCAAACAGGCTCCAACCATGGGGACACAAATGACATGGTAATACACACTGCTACATGGCCATATCTCTGTCAACACAAGAGCAAGAGGGCTAGTGGTATGGTTCAAGTGGTAGAGCACCTGCCTAGTAAGCACAAAGCCCTGAGTTCAAACACCAGTACTACAAAAAGAAAAAACCCTCTTTCTTTGCGTATCTGATTTCAGATGGTACTATCCTGAGACCTTTCCTGCAGCACTCATTCCTATTCTTACAGTGTGCTCTATATATCTGCCTGGATAAGACACTGACATGCAGACATGTTCTTTCATCTTCACCCTTAACCATCTCTTCTGGAATGGAAAGTGAAGGTACATGTCTTAGGAAGAGGTATGGGGCCAGGATAGGCAAGGCTCACCATCTCCTGTCACATAGTACCCAGGGAACTTCTTAAAGTAGGTGGTTTCAAAGCGTGTGTGGTTGCCATAAACTGTGCGCATGATTCCTGGCCAGGGCTGCTTGAACACCTGGGGAGTGAAGAAGACACAGACAATAATCACATCTGTTAGGCTATCTCACAGGAAGCCAATCTGAGAAGTAAGACAGGCTTTAGAGATGGATTATCCTGGCTTGGAATCCTGTCACCTACTAACTGTGTGACTTCAGGAAAGTGACATTATTTCTCTAAATTTCAGGACCCTCAGATGTCAATCAGAGAAAATAATTTCTGTCTTCTAAAGTTATTGTGAGTATTAAATTAGTATGTGGAAATTACCTAGCAAAGTCTTCTGTTAGTGATAAGCATTTAGTAAATTTGAGTTCTTTTTGGGTAAACTCTTGGGAAAGCATATCCAGTATAATGTTAATGAAAACAGTCATACAAAAGAAGAAAACATAAGTAAATGTGTATTTTCCAATCAACAACATTCTGTGGCAGCAGACTGATGGGATGCACAGAATTCTAAGCTAAGTCAGAAGGCCCAGATTCAAGTCCTGCCTGTTACCAATTTGATCTTGGAAAAGTGAAATGGGTGTGATCTTGGAGGCAGGACTGGTATTATCTATAGGGGTAATTTTCTATAACAAAATTAGAGCAGCTAACATTTATTGAGTACTAACTGCTAGGTTCGAAGTTAATTTCTTTGTATGGATTATCTAATTTAATGTACCATTATATCCCAGTTTTATGAACGAAAATGTTTAGGTTCAAAGGCATTTGTTAACTTCTCTGAGATACAGAAGAGTTAGAATCAGGATTTGAACATAGGCAGGCTGATTTCAGAGCCTAAACGGATGTCTACTATATTATGAAGCCTTTTTTCTCTAGAATGTTTGTCAAAGGAAGAATTAAGACAAGTCTTCCTAGCCCAAAAAAGTACCTCTGGGAATCTTTGTATAGATTTTTAAAAGGCCCTTAAGAACCTTATGTACCAAGAGGCAGAGATGCAGGCAAAACATATAGAAAGATTTTCCCTGAGGTCTTTCAGGAGAGGACAGACCCCTCAACTGTGGAACATCAGTCCTAAGTAGCTATCAGGAAAGATTAGGTTATAAACGCTGAAGCAAAGTATCCTTAGTGGACCCTTTTCCCTTCTCCTCAAAGACCTCCAAGAGCCAGGGCCTCACCAGGTAACCTTCAGCTTCACCTTCCAACTCTTCTCCAGATTCATTCAGGATTGCAGGAGCTACACCAAAGAATGGGAAGGACTAAAAGCAAATGGAAGAGAACTCAAGAAAAGGAATGAGGCAACCCTGACGCAAATCCCCAAGAATCCCAGAGTCCTAAATTTCTCATATCAGTCCAGTTCCCTACTCTCTAATAGGTCAAATGTCCCAAGACCCTATTTCTGTCAAGCCCAGAACCACAGGGGAGTTTCACTTACTGCAGAACCAGGTTTCATGGGTATGGCACCAGGGAGGGGTGTCAACATGTGGCCACCCTGTGGAAATCAGAGGTCAGGTGTTTTAGTCAGTCTTCCCACATTGTCCCTTAGCCCAGCCTTCTTAATCTGTGACTCACTGTCTCTGTTTGCCAGAAGGTGTCCACGATGGGGCAACGCTGGGCCCCTACCACTCTGTGATACCATAGCCAGGCCTCAGGATTGATAGGCTCACCCACTGTGCCTAGCACCTGCAAGGATGCCCGGCTATGCCTTGGCAGGGGAGTGAAAGAAAGTTCTGAGTATGACTGGAAGCAAAATACATGTGTCCCAGCTCTTCTCTTGCTCCCTCCCCTAATCCAGGTCAGGGAGCTGAGATAATAGGAAGAAACTTTACAAAGGGCAGCACCCAGCTCTGAAGGATACCCAGGGGACAGCAACTGGGGAGAGGGTCTCACTTGGTGACAGGCTCATCTCCAAACTTCATGAGCAGACGGATGGCTGTGGGTGCTGTGTAGAACTTGGTCACCTTGTATTTGTCCACAATGCTCCACAGGCGGCTCACATCTGGGTATGTGGGGATCCCCTCAAACTGACCCCAGTGAAATCTGGTCATTCCAGGCCCTTCCCAATAGTCCTTCTTTCTATTCTATCCCCTACTGCCCCCCACCAAGTTCAGTATCTTTCCCTTTCTGACCAACCATTCTCTACCCCCTGACCAGATGAGCCAAAAGAGCTCTTGTCAGGACACACAACTCCTTCAGGACTCCTCTTTCTCCAGGAAACCTCTATCTCTGGACTAAGTAACCTTAGGAGGCAATCACCCAGGATAATCTTGTCCATGTCCCAGCTCCCTTCTTACCAAAACACTGGTGGCACCGTTGGCCAGTGGCCCATAGGTGACATAAGAATGGCCAGTGATCCAGCCAATGTCTGCTGTGCACCAAAACACATCCTCCGGGTGGAAGTCAAATACATACTTGAAGGTTGTAGCCACATAGAGCATGTAGCCCCCAACTGTGTGTACCACACCCTGTTGTGAAGAACAGGGTCTTAGATTGGAGCCTTGCACCCACCTCCACTGACCAACAAATGCTGGGCAGAGCTGGAAGAAGACCCTTCTTAGAGGTTCTGCCACTGCCAGCACTCATTTTACAGCATCTGTCTCTCTTTCATCTCTTTTATCACACCTCTGATATCACACATGCATAAGAAGTCTATCACTCCCATCCACACCCTCAGATTGCCTTTCTGGACCTCCACATCACTCACATACACATAAACACTTCTAGGCCACTCAAATCTAATAGTCTTTGCTATGTATTTGTGTCCATGCACTCAATTACACAATTGTCAGTAATTGAAAAAAAAAAAAAAAAAGAATTCCCTTTGCTTATGCCATCCCTACCCGGTCCCTAGGAAAGAGAGGCCAAAATTGTGTTTCTAAAGGAATGAACTTAGGGATGGGGTGGATAGAAGGTAGAGTAACACAGCTTTCAATGGAAGAGTCCAAGGTTTCTTAAATGTTTCCAGCTCCCACACTGTGCCCTAGTAGGGAACTAGATGTTAGTGTGCCATGAAGAAGGAACTGAAGAGCTATGGTCTTAGAAGCCCAGAAAAGATCCCTGTGCCCACCCTTGGTCTTGAGTTGGCAGGACAACTCTCTTTTTAACCAAGCATGTGGGAATGGGAAAGGAGCACCCATATCACCCACATGGACTCATCTTTACCTTCTGGGCACTATGAAAACCCCTACCTAACTTGTCTTACTCTGGGTCTCACCATCTAGTGACTGAGGATTTAGATACTAGTTTATTTAGAAAAGGTAATTTGACGTTTTTGAAATTCAGGATTTTAGAATAAAATTCCTGTCATTACATGCTTCCTCAGAAACTCACTTCTTACCACTACACAATAGACATATATACACTTGCCTTGGGTTTGCCTGTGGAACCACTGGTGTATAGGATAAAGAGGGGGTCCTCAGCATCACACCACTCAGGCTCAAACTCATCCCCTGCCTCTTGCATGAGCTCATGCCACCATAAGTCAATCCCTTGATTCCAGGAGATCTGCAGAGAAAGGAAGATAGGAATTGGCAGGGAAGAACTGTGAATAACTCAAGATGAGTACGAGAGACACCCCTACCTGGCATCTGGAAGGGTGGGGCAGGACTGGTAGGTGGAGGTTCAGAAAGGGAAGGAGGGCCCTGCAGGGATAGAATGGGACAGAGAGAAAAGAAGCAGAACAGCAGGCTTCCTAGGTACTTCCAGCTGCCATCCTTGCTCTGTCTCTACCCCAGAACTTCATTCGCCTGGCCATAGGCTCAGGAGGTTTCCTTGTTTGGTTTTTTCTCATTCTTCAGTTCTCAGCTGAAGTGTCACTTTCTTAAAAAGGATTTCCTGAACCAGTATCTGACATCACCCCACCCGATATTAATTATTATTAATCACAGCATCATGTTTCTTTCCCACATAGTATCTATTTTTTGTAATTTTATTTGATCATTTACTTGATTACTATCTTCCCCAACTAGATAGTGACCTCCAGGAGGGTAATGGCTTGTCTGTCTGTCCCCACCCCCCCCAACATCCCCAATACCTAGTAAAGTTCCTGATACTCAACAGACATTTAGTAAGTTTTTGTTGGATAAATAACTATGAACACACAGCCTACATACACACATATGTATGACGGGACTAGTGACTTATCAGTAGGGATGCGGACACCATACAATTTAGATAAGCAAAATTAGTCAGAGTCTGCAAGTGAGGTGAGCTCTTGACTCTGTTAGTTAGTAGTGAAAGAAATCAAAAGATCTTGGTTCAAGCATTTTTCCTACATGTCCTCCATTTCTGGAGGTTCTCTCCTGCCTTTATAGCACAGATACCAATGGGGTTTCTCATAGCAATTCTGCTCATGGAGACAGGTTCCATGCAGCAGGCCTTTGCTAATAGAAGGAGCAAGGAGGATTTGTTCCAGGACAGAAATATCCCCATATGCCTGATTGCCTTCGATAATGACTTCTGGATCTGTCACCCTGAAATTTTTCTTAACTCTTCTTTAAAACTATTTTCCTTTCCTGGAACACAAGTTTGTTTTTTTTAAATCTACCCTCTGTTGGGTGAAATTAGATTCCCTGAATTTGTCAAAAAATTGCACTGAATTTTAACATGAATTTCATCACCTTCTAACTATATGACCTTGGGCAAGTCACTCTACCTCAAGTCCTTTTTAAAAATGAGAATAGTCATTTTTTCCCTTGATAATCTCAAAGAATTTTGGAAACATCAAGAGAGAAAGATACTATCTAATAAACATCAAACCTTGGATTGTCTCAGGGGGTGGGATTAGGGTGATGTGGAAAAAAAAGACTGATGAATGTCAGAAGAGATGGGATATGTGCAGTGATCACTGGGAAATAAATTTAAGGGTGTGATGACATTTGGGGTTTGCTTTAGCTATGTGAAAGCCTTTTGTATTCATTAGATTCTTGACTGTATGAAGGCCCTGGCAGGCAGGTAATAGGGTAATGTTAGAGAAATGCCATTCCCCTATTACGTGTAAATATGCTAATTTATTATGCGCACATTTGGTTAAAAAATCCCAAAGTGTTAGACATGTATCTTGATAAATTGGAAGGTGACTCTCTAACAACTCCTCTTTTTCTGTACTATAGGACCCTTACTCTAGAAAATTTGTAGTTTGTGGCATATGAGCATCATAAGAATGACACTCCCAGTCCAAGTGAGGGTGACATTATAAATAAGAAGAAAAAGAAAGGAGAGATAAGTTACCAAGCATAAAACACATCCTAATTTTTAGTGAAAGATCTATATGAGTTTATGTATATGTTGTCACATAGATAATTATTTCTCCTGCCAAATGATCACTTGAGCTGAGGGTATTAATGTATTTAAACAGAACTAAGTTAACACTGCTTTGTACAAATGGCACAAGTCTATAGTACTGTGAATTATCACGGTGGCTCTGCAATGAGGGGACTACTGTAATCTTATAAAACTGTTTCCTTTGTGGGTGTATGTGTGCATGTGGAGACGTGGAGGAGGTGTGGTACTCTAGGCATAGAGTTGATAAGGAGCATCAGGAAGCACAATGAGCTCAGTTATGAAGCAAACATGGTGTATAAATTGGGTGTGTGCCTATGAAGCCCATGGCTTTGAACCAGGAAAAAGTTTCAATTCTCTAAAATACAAATTGAGGAGATGGCCCTTGTTTTTGGACCAGGGCCAAAGGTAGGGCAGCTTCCAGGTATGGAAGATGAATATGAAGCAGTTTATAGGTGATATGGTTGAAGAGGGCACCTAGAAACTGTTCCAGTCCTTCCCTTGAAGATTATGTAAGGATGGAGGGGTTTGGAGTTCTGTCAAGGTTTCAGCTTTTACTGCAATATTCAGACCAACAAACTTGGGCTTTGTAAACCTATTTTTAAGCTCTTTAGTTTTTTGGTAACTGATTTTTTCACCTCCAAGAAACAAAAACCTAGGAGCCTGTAGCCTGAAGCAGAAATTACAAGTTTGTTACTTGTTTTTTGGTCTCCTTTATAGAAATGCCAGTCTGCCTGTTATGCTAAGAGGAAGCAATAACACCTAACATTTATTGAGTAGTCACTACATGCCAAGAACCTTGCTTATATTGACAAAACCCTAAAAGGTAGATACAATTATACCTTTATCTTACAGATGAGGAAACTGAATCAAGAAAGCTTACATAATTTGCCCAAGCTTACACTAGCAGGTGACAGAACCAGAATTTGAACCCAGCTTGTCTGGCTCCAGAGTCTATACTCTAAATCATCAAGTTTGTGACCTCCTTCAAAAAGGGGCTTAGGTCCTTGCTTAAGTTTTAAAAGAAAAGCAATTTTCCCTAGGAAAACTAACAATAGAAAAAGGGGTCTTATATATACCATTAGCCTAAGAGGTTAATCATATCAGACTAAGAGTACGGTAACCTGTGACGATTGTGCAGCTTATAGGAACAATGGACTTTATGTTTTGTTTTAGGAAGGGAAACCATTTTCTTTTAAGCATGCATTACCATCTCTCTTTTACTGATAATAAAGTGAAGCCTAGAGAGGAAAGGTGACTTAGTCAAGGTCATTATAGCTAAAAATGTGTCTTTGGATTCAAGCCCACTCCTATGTACTGATTTGCTTTAAGCACCCACTTATGGATTTCCCTTCTTAGAACCATCTAGAGTGACTTTTGTTCAATTTAGTACTTAATTATATCAGAGAATTATGTGCAGTTCATAAATCCCAAAGTAGTATATAAATGTATTTGGGAATCTGTTCTTCTCTGCTGTTCTGTATAAAACTTTTTTTTCATTTGCAATACATGTCTAATTTCCCAACTTGATGGTGAATTCCCAAGGTCAGTGTCTATACCTCCTCTACCTGCCCATCCTCTATCTATTCTGGACCTGTCCCAGATAAGTGCATAGTAAATGCTTTCTGACAGGTTACCTGGTCCCCTCTTCTACAAAATACCTGGGGCAGCAGGAATGACATGGTATATCTGTTGCTACCTCTCTGAGATCCTTGTTCTATGCTAGAAACAGAAATGGACATTTGATTTCACAATTCTTCAGAGTAGTGTAGACATCAAGGGGAACAGGGTCAGGTCTGACAGACACCTCATGGGGCAAACAGACAAAAACCAGATAGATACACAGATAAGCACACAGGGAAACAGTGTCCAAGGCAATGCAGAAGTGGATACCTGGGGCCGAATGCGCTTGGATTTCTCTTTCAGCTTACCCTGTTAAGAGCCCATGGAATGGAAAGGCTGATGAGCAGGGTCCAAGGATAGAGGGGTGGGAAGGAAGGGTAAGTGTCCTCTAAACTCCTGGATGCCTATTTTCCCCGAGGCTTCCCTCTCACTTGTTCCCCCAGACTTTATTTTCTTCATCCTAACTCCAGCCCCTATATGTGCAAAATCTCTAATACTGACTGGGCTTTCCAATCTCCCTGAAACTAAACTACAGGCTCTCTCACCCCAAGACCAGTCAGGATCCTTCAAGTTACAGAATCTAAGTAACCTTCTGCCCTTTTGAACCCCAGAACTTTCATCCTTATGCCCCTCAGACTGGGAGGTCACCACTGCTCTCATGAGAAGCACTGGATCCTGAGCTAATGAGAAACATCTTGAGGGATGTACCCTGATTCTTCCATGTTAAGCATCTGCTAGACCACAAAGGTAGCCCATCCCAAGTCACATTTCAGTCAAGATGACTATATACAGTCACCCAAGTCAGCACATTTCCAACCCAAACCTAAGTCCTGAGGGTCTCTTGTGCCTATCAAGATACCCCAACCAACACAGAAGTCTCCTTCACAACCTCTCACGCTAAGTTCCTAAGGCCCAAGGTCCTTCTACCCTTATTTAAGGTCAAGGTCCCTTGTTCCCAGCCAGCCTTGCCAGAGGAAACATTTTTGGGATTGATCTCAGATCCTCAGTATTAATGATGAAAGGAAGAAATCAAGAACTTCTTGGGCAGGAAAAAGTAGGAAATTTGAGCTTATAGGAGGATTTTAATGGTGCCAGACTCACCTGGACATCTGGGCATGACCTCTTAACTGGGGGAGACTGGCTGGGGGAATCACCCGTGCCCAGTTCTGCCCGCCCTAGGTGCTTGACCACAATGCAGCATCTCACTGGGAAACCTCTGGAGGAAAGAAAAGCTTGAAGTAGTAGTCTAATTGGCTAAAAAGAGAAGTTGGCAAGACCCCCACCCTATGTCCATCTAGGGTATCAGGACAAAGGAAACTGGCACTGGAGAAAGACCCAGTCAACGCAGGGCAGAAGCCAACAGGCCAGCACACTTACTTCTCCCGACACTTCTCCAGGGACTCATCAGCCAACTCCTTCAGGTTCACAAGCTTTTCCCCCCTGTAGAAGGCATCTTTGGGGAGCAACAGACATTCCAGGCCTTAGTAAACATGATAATCCCCAGTGGGCCCAATGTCAAAAGGGCCCTTCCTGAATGGGATTCTTGATTCTGGCTCTTCTAGAGGATTTGGGCTGAGGTGGGATCAGGAGAGGAAGGGCAGGCAGTGCCTCTCTCCATCCTAAGTAGCCCAAAGTCAACAAGCTGAGTGGAAACTAAGATTCAAGATGTGAGGAGTTCAAGAGAAAGTTTAAGAGAATTAGTCACCTGTAGTGATGAGAAGACTGCAACTGGAATCCAGAATCCGTTCACATAGAGACTCTGCAGAGAAGCCTGCAAACTAGGGAAGGAAAAATTAAGGGAAGAGGGAGGACCCAGGGATTGAACGAACAAGCAAAGGAGTTGCTCAAGAAACACTTAGCATCTCCAAGACAGGGTCTTAGAAGAAACTGAATAATTTGGACTATAGTGCAACACTCTCAGCTCCTTTGTTATTTAAAATACTCCATCATCCAGACCCAATCTACTTCTCTAGAACATTATCTCCAACCCCTGCCCCTTTTCATCAGCCCAAACTCCTACCACAATGGAGTGTAAAGCCCCAAGGCGGGCACATGCCAGCATGGCTACAACGAGCTCCAAGATCATGGGCATGTAGATGGCCACTCGGTCACCCTTCTGAATGCCTGCAGGTAAAAGATACAAAACAGGACCATTGATGCTTTCTGCTGCTACTTACTCCCTCCCATCCAGCTGCCCCTGCTCCTGCTAATTTTTTCTATTCCTCTGTTTCCAGATTGCCTTTCATCCTTTATCTTCTTCCCACAAATCTTCAGATACCCCAAGGCCAGGCCCTCCAGTCCCTTTCCGACATTCCCACACTCACCCTGTTTTCGGAGAACATTGCTGAACTGACACACTTGAACTAGAAGTTGACGGTATGTGATCTGAGTGGTCTCCCCTGGCTCATTGCCCTCCCTGAGATACACCAGAAAGAACCAGTGATTAGGAGGTACGACTTCAATCTCAAATAATACAGGAGCAGTCATAAAATCCATCTAGTAACATTAAAGTTTGGAACTGTCCTATGAGAAATCATCTGCTACCACACCTTGAGCTGAATTAACAGCTACTTGGCCTTTTGAGATATTTCATACATAGGTTGTGTTTTATTGGAAAGTGCACTGTCCATCTCTGAGCCTCATTTTTTATGTTGATAAAATAGGGTAATGATCCCTTTTATTCTATCCTAGGGCTGTGCTAGGGAGAAATTATACCACAAATGTGATCTTTTTTTACATTTTTATTAGCATACATTAGTTGTATGGGGGGTCTCATTGTGACATTTATATATATGCTTATCATGTATCTTAATTAGATTCACCCTCTCCATCATTCTCCCTCCTCCCTAACCTTAGAACAAATTCAACAGGTTTCATTGTTCTATTTTCATATACATATACAAAGTACATTAACTAACTCATCCTCTCTTTTTATCCTACCCACTTCCACTGGTGAGTGGGGTGATTAGTCCTGGACAGGACCTGTTTTACCTTTCTGTCCTTCATTTTATCTGTATGTATATATAGATTGTTAAATGGAGTTTTGCCATGGTATTTCACACATGTATATATTGTGCTTTAATCAGGTTAACCCCCTCTATTACTTACTCTTTCTCTATCACCCTGCTCCCCTATTATTCAACAGCTTTCAGTGCATTTCATTATTCACTATATTCATATACAGATGCAGTATATTTCATTATCATTCAAATGTGATCTTTTTTTTATTTTGTCGTTTTTACATTTACTCACATGTGTATACATTGTTTGGGCCATCTCTTCTACCCCAGATGTGATCTTGATAAGGTATCAAGACTACATTGAGCTAGGTGTCAGTGGCTCACACCTATAATCCCAGCTACTTGAGAGGATGAGATCAGGAGGATTGTGGTTTGAGGCCAGCCCAGGCAAATAGTTTGTGAGACCCCCATCTCCAAAATATAGCCATAGCAATATGGACTGAAGGTGTGGTTCAAGCAGTAGAGCACCTGCTTTGTGAGTACCTGCTTTCAAAGCATGAAGCCCTGTGTTCAAAACACCCCAGTCTCACCAAAAAAAAAAAAAAAGAAAAGACTACATTGGTAGCTGGGATTATGGATGCATGCCTATAATCCTAGGATTTAGACAGAGAGGGGAGGATCATGAGTTTGAAGTCATCCTGGGCTACATTGCAAAGTTCAGCCACTATGGACTACATAGTGAGGCCCTGCTCACATAAACCAAACTATGTGGGGAAGGAGAGGGAGACTGCATTGTTATTACTCAGAATAAGGTTTCCAGATTACTTGCATCCCAATTACCTAGCAAATTTGTTAGAATATAAATTCTTGGACCCCCAACTCAGACCTACTGAATCAGAATCCCAAAGTCCAAGAAACTGATTTATTACAAGCTGGTACAAAAACACAGTAGGTTACTCTAATGTACACTTAAAGTTTGAAAATCACTACCATTGTACTGGGGACATACTCAGTGAGCACTTGTATAGCGTATGAGAGGTCCTTGGTTTGATCCCAGCAATACACAAACACACACACACATACACACACATACACACACGAAAAATTCAGTAAGACGGGAGACGTAGTGGTACACACCTGTAAACCCAGGACTCAGAAGGCAGAGGCAGGAGAACTGTTAGTTCAAGGCCAGCCTGGACTATATAGAAAAGAGGATGGATGGATCAATGGATGGATGAAGGAAGGAAGGAAGGAAGGAAGTTTGGTAATCATCTATCACAGTGGCTGATAAAAGATAGGTATTGGATAAATGCTAAGAGTTATTGTCATATTATATATATTGTGTATTTTTGTTGCTAAGCATAAAGTTTTTGCATGTAATTTATTGGATTTTTTTGTGTGTGTGGTACTGGAGTTTGAACTCAGGGCCTGTACCTTGAGCCACTCCACCAGTCCTTTTTTTGTGAAGGGTTTTTTTGAGATAGCGTCTCATGAACTATTTGCCTGTGCTGGCTTCGAACCACAATCCTCCTGATCTCTGCCTCCTGAGGAGCTAGGATTACAGGTATGAGCTACCGGTGCCCAGCTCCTGTATCTTGTTTTTAATTATTATATGCATGTAATAAATTGTACAAATCTTAAGTGTAAATTTAATCATCTTGGTTTTTAAAATTTAACTATATGCTTTGGTTTCATTTTTCATCAAAACTAATGAAACAAGCTTTTCATTCTCTTCATTGTTTGTATGAATTACAATTAACAATAAATGCTTCAATGAATTTTATTCATATATCACTTGCAAGTATATCTGTAGGATGAGTTACTAAAAGTAGGACTGTTGGGTCAAAAAATAAGTAAGTGCATTTTTAATATTGATAAATACTAGGGAACAACCACTTTAGATAAGAGGGTCATAAAAGATCTCTCCTCAGGGAGGTGATATTTCAGCTAAAGCCTGAATAATAAGAAGTGGTACCTTTACCAATTCTTAGGAAGAGGATTCTGGGCAGAAAGAACATCAAATGGAAAGGCACTGAGGCCTATTCAAAGCACAGAAAAATGACTGGGGGTGTGGCTCAAGCAGCAGCAGCATGCCTGCCTAGCAAGTGGGAGGCTTTGAGTTCAACCGCCAGTAACATCAAAAAAAAAAAAAAAGTAAGAAAAAGAAGAACAGATAGGAAACCAGTGTGGCTGGAATACAGTGAGCAAGAGTGAGCAGGAGGCTGAGTAAGAATGAGAGTTAGGCAGCAGTCAAATCACACAGAACCTTGTAAGCAGTGGTAAGAAATTTGAATTTTATTCTAAGTAGATTCTTACTGGCTTCCCTTATATACCTCCACCCTTTTGATTATGTCATTATATCTGCTCAAAATGTCCCTCCTCCTCCTTCAGACACAGAGCTCTTCCTCAGTGCTACTGTCCATTGTATTCCATCTCGTTCCTTACTACCAAGAGTACTTGCGAAGGAGGAAACTGAAATTCAGAAAGATGTAGTAGTCAGCCAAGGTCACACAATAAGTGACAGAGCCAAGAATAGATCCTCAGGTCTTCTGATTTCAAGTCAGGATTCTTTCCCTCATAGTGTGAAGGACAGGGACTGACAGGGAAGCCAGGTGTTTTCTTACTGACAAGAGGTTACAGAGGAGATTATCAACCTCTTTCTAGCTTCTGGCTTGATGAGTCAGTTACTATCTTCTCCTTGGCTTTAACCCTCCAAGGGCTGAGAGAAGCCAAGCATGGCAAGCTTACTAAAGTGGGAAGCAATAAGGAGGGAGGAAGCTGGCAACTGGTCCTAAATGCCAGAGGCAGGAAAGCCATTTCCTTAACCTGACCACTGACAAATGTCACAGGAACTTTAGAACATCTCCAGATACGGCTGAATGCTGACATTATGTCCCCATGCACGCACCACCAACACACACACACACACACACACACACACACACACCCTACAGTGTGTGCTCCTTTCCCTGGCTATAGGCTCAAGTTATACATTATTGATCTAGATAACTTACTTACTCCAGTGTCTTCTTTCTCTGACATATACACCAGGCTGGGGACTGTGGCTGGTTGGAAGTGGGGGTGAGGAGTGGTTACTGGCCTTATGCAAGGTCCCAAGCCCTTTAGCTCTTAACTAAACATCCCATTTGGTCTGCTACTCTGAGATTCAAGAAGCTATTAGCTAAAATTGGGGTCACAGGGTAGACTGCAGAAAAGCAGGGACAAGGACCCTGAATCTAGGTCTCTTCGCCCACACTGGGAATTGCAAGCTCAAAAATTAACAAGATCAGAGATAGGCACAGTGGCTTACACCTGTAATCCTAGCTACTTGGGAGGCAGAGAACAGGAGGATCTGGGTTCAAGGCCAATCTGGGCTAAATTAATGAGACTTCATCTTAATCAATAAGCTGGATGTGATGATGGTGTGTGCTTGTGGACCCAGCTTAGTAGTAGAAGGTCTGAGGCCCACACCAGGCAAAAACATGAGGCCTTCCCTGAAAAATAACCAAAGTAAAAAAGGCTAGGGGCATGGGTCAATTGGTAGAGCACCTGTCTAGCAATGGTGAGGCCCTGAGTTCAAACCCCAGGGCCATCCTTAAAAAAATATTATTAGGATCAAGGTTTGGAATAAACTTCACTGATAGAGTACTTACCTAATATATACAAGGCCCTGTTCATGTACACCACCCCCCCCCAAAAAATAACAGGGTCCAGGCAGGTAATATAAATGAATGAAATGTATCATATGAGCTGGGTGACAGTGATTCACACTTGTAATCCTAGACACTCAGGAGGCAGAGATCAGGAGGATCATGGTTCAAAGGCATGCTGAACAAATAGTCTGAGAGACCCTATCTTGAAAAAAAATCCATCAAGCACTTGTGGAGTGGCTCAAGGTACAGGCCCTGAATTCAAGACCCTCCCCCCAAAAAAGAAAGTTCCTGACACAAAAAAAGACTGATTGGAGGTCCTCAAGTGGTAGAGTGCCTGCCTAGCAAGAGTGAAGCCCTGAGTTCAAACCCCAGTACCACAAAAAAAAATTGTTCCCTTTTTTCTTAACTTTTCTTTCTTTTTTTTGGTGCTTGTTGGTTGAGATGGACTCTTGGTAATTTTTGCCCAGGCTGGCCTCAAACCATGATCCTCCTGATCTCTGCCTCTGTAGTAACTGAGAGCCCCCATGCTGGGCTTCACATTTATTTCTCTGCCTCTGTAGTAGCTGAGAGCCCCCACGATGGGCTTCACATTTATTTCTACTGTCCTAGTCCAATACTACCATTAGGTAAGTCAGATCATGTTACTCTACTCTCAAAATGCTCAGATCACTTCCCACATCATTTGAATAAAAGTCAAAGTCCTCACAATAGCCTACTAGTTCCTACATGATCTACTTCCTCTCTAAAATCATATATTATTGTTCTCTCTTCCTTTCTGTCTCCCTCTCATTTGGTTGGCTCCAGTCATTTGGTTGCCTTAATGTTTGGCAAAAACACCTAACATAAAACCTTAGAGACCTTGTCCTCTATTTGTAGCACTCTTCCCTCAGATAGCCATATGACTTACTCTCTTTCTTTAAGTCTTTTCTTAAACTTTAGCTTCAGTGAGGTCAACCTTGACAACGCTATAAAAGTAAGGTACTACCTGCACCTTTAACCTCAGGTGCTCCAAATTAATATTAACTAATTAATTAACTTAATTAGTTAATATTAACTTAATAGTTAATATTAATTAATATTAACTAAGTCTTTCTTAGTTCCTTTTCCCTACCTACAGTGAAAATGAACGTTCTTCCCTCTTTGCAGAGTCCTTCACCTCACTTTCCTTGTGATCCTTTTTTTTTTTTTTTCCGGCCTTGTATTACATGCATTTAAGCCTTTTCTTACACCCTGGCCTCTTGGAGGTAAGGATCATGTCCTCTCTGTCTCCTCCAAGTATAGTTGGCGCAATAGGTACTCAGAGGTCATGGCCAAATCATTGAAAGACTGATAATTGATTAATAACAAGGAAAACTGGAGTTTCCCTTCTTAAATGATAGGGATAGGCACTGGATTAAAGATGTTAATTCCCTACAACTACACAAAGTATAAAATTGGAGGAAAAGCTGAAAGAAAGATAGGTGGGAGAGTGCTGGGAACTTACCCAGCATGCACAGTACCGTGGAGGGGATACTTAACATCAATGTGTGTGTGTGTGTAAAAACTGGTTTTTTCATAGAGGCATTAGGGAGAAGGTTCTCCACTCAGACAGTCAAACCTGTTATAAGAGCATCAAATTGAACCAAACTGATATATTTAGCTCAGAAAAGGGAAGATACTGATGGATGGAATAGCTAATCTTAAATATCTGTATCTCCATTCTCTCTATCCTACGTTAAGCGCCTTCATTTGTCACCTGGATGACCACAATTGCCCCGGAAGTGGTCTCCTGCTTCATTCTTGTCCCCTTCCAATCTACACATCATTCAAAATGATCTGTTACAAACATAAATCAGACCATATCGCCTCCTGTCTAAAACCCTTTAATGGCTTCCATTGCATATAGAGGAAAATTCAAACATCTATACCTTACATTCTCTACAACTTCATCTTGTGCCATCCTCTCATTCTGCTTACTAGGCTCTATGGGTCTTCTGACAGACAGGACATGCCATGTTCTTATTGTATATCTCCTCTACTAAGCGGAAGATACCTTCTTAAGGTAGAGAGATTCAGTGCTGAATCCCCAGTGCCTTGCACAAAGCCTTGTACATAGTAGGTGCTCAATAATTTTTTCTGAATTAATAAATCTGAAAAATTATTATGGAAAGGAAGCAGACCAGTATTATATAACTTTAAATGGAACAGCTAGGTCACTTGGAAGAGCTAAATATATAGAAAGTCTTCCTATAGGTAGAGGTATGTCTCAAGCAGTAGAACGTCTGCCTACCAAGGGCAAAGATCTAAGTTCAAACCCTAGTACCACCAATAAATAAATAAATAAATAAAAGAAGGAAAGCCTTTCTGACTGTTAAAGCTTTCCAAACATGGAAGGTACTCCTTTAGGAGATCCCTACACTATAGTGATATTGTGTAGAATTTGGAATTTGCATGTATACTAAAGAGCAGACTTTGCCATGTGGGCCAAGCAAGACCAATGTTTCTCAAAGTGTGGTCAGATAGTGTTAGTAATGCAGACTCCCCAGTTTCCTTACAGCATAGAATTGTTCAGTTTAGGCCAGGGAAACATGGGCACCTACTTGTACTAGACCTTTTTCCAAGGTGTGAGGCCTTGGAATTTTCATTTTACAAGCTTCCCATATAATTCATGTTCACTGAATATTGAGATACCTTTATGGCCTTTCCAACTTCAATATCTTTTATTCTATAAAATTAAAAAATAACATGAAAGAGTTCTGCACAAATGTGAGGCACTCTGATTTAAGTATACCCTAAAGTCATTTCCTTTTCTCAAAGGGAGCAGGGAGTGGAAGCAATATAATTTGACAAATTAGCAGTCTAATGTTCCCTCTGGGCACTTTTGCCTTAGCTGCAATAGAAATGCTGAAAGAGAAGGTAGAAGGAGGCACACCCCAAAACTGAGTCATGAATTACTTGGAATGCTAAAGGAGGATGGACCTTTTGAGAGCCACCACTTTTATTTACAGATACAAAACCTAAGGCACAGAAATGGGAAATGATAGCTTTAGGGTTACTTAGCAATTATTAACAATATTTTTCTAAAGCAGTCTTGTCCAATGTGGTAGTCTCTAGCCACATAAAGCCACTGAACACTTGAAGTATAGTTAAAGAATTGAAATTTTAAATATTTTAAATAACAAAAATCACATGTGGCTAGAGTCTGCTATATTGGATAGTGTAGTTCCATAGTCTAAATGTCTCTAGGTTAGGATATTCTCCTCCTAACTGACATGGCTTCCAAAAGGAAAAAGTTGTTTTCAAAGCCAGAAAAAAAGCATAAAGAGCCAGGCGCTGGTGGCTCACATGTAATCCTAGCTACTTGGAAGGCAGAGATCAGGGAACATAGTTCAAAGCCAGCAAATAGTTCACGAGATCCTATCTAAAAAATACCCAACACACACACACACAAAAAGACTGATGGACTGGCTCAAGTGGTAGAATGCCTGCCTAGCAAGTGTGAAGCCCTGAGTTCAAACCACAGTACTGCAAAAAAAGAAAAAAAAAAAAAGAGAGCGAGAGAGAGAGAGAGAGAGAGAGAGAGAGAGAGAGAGAGAGAGAAAAGCATAAGGAAAAAAATCAAACTGCAAGAGCCCTAAGAACTGTAGGGTTAAAGATGACCAAGAATGGACTTTTAGTGTAGTTTTCAGAAATTCATCATTCTATTTGGTTTCTCATCCACTTCTGTAGAAAATGTTCTTTTTTGAAAGCACTATAGATTTCTGATTTCAAGTGATATCTAACTTGCAGACCCAAATACAGCGTCATCCAGCTCCTGATTAAAAAATTGGCACCAACTGGCACCCTCTCAACTTGAATCTGAAAGGACTTTCCTTTAACTCCAAAACTGATAAAACTATAGAGTTTAAAAGTCTCAATTAGTGGTCCATTCATGAAATGCTTGCCTAAATGTAGATTCTCTACTTTTTGTATACACTCTCTAATCCCCTTCAGAAAGCCAAGTCTGTACTGACCAGTCTTCAAAAGGCAGCCATGATTAGGGAAATACAAATCAAAACCACAATGATATCCCACTTCAAACCCACTAGGATGGACATAATCAGATAGATAATAACAAGTATTGATTGGGAAGCATGTAGAAAATCTAGAAGTTTGTGTATTATTGGTAGGAGTAGAAAATGATTCAGCCACTTTGGAAAACAAACTGGCAATTTCCCAAAAGATTAAATACAGAGTTATCATATGACCCAAAAATTACACTCCTAAGTATATACCAAGAGAACTGGAAGCATATATCCACATAAAAAATTTGTATCCAAATGTTCATAGCAGCATTCCTTATGATATAAAAAAATGAAACCAGCTGTGCACTGATGGCTCATGTCTGCAATCCTAGCTTCATGAGAGGCTGAGATCAGGAAGATCATGGTTTGAGGCCAGCCCAGGCAAATAGTTTGCAACATCCCATCTCCAAAATATCTGGAGTAAAATGGACTGAAGGCATGTCACTCAAGCGGTAGAGCACCTACTTCATAAGTGAAAAGCCCTAAGTTCAAACCTCAGTCTCACCCTCCTCACCAAAAATAGAGACAATCTAAATGCCTATCAATTGAGGAATGTATAAATAAATTTTAATTGGTATATTCAATCAAATATTATTCATCCATGAAAAGGATGAATTACTATAACATGGATGAACACCGAAAACTTTATGCTAAGTGAAAGAGGCTAGATAGAAAAGGCTATTTATGATTCCATTTATATGAAATCCCAAGTATAGTCAGAGCCATAGAGATAGATAGATTAATGGTTGCCTGGGGCTGAAGTAGAGAAAGATTGGAGGAAAAGGGGAGTGACTGCTAATGAGAATGGAGTTTCTTTTTGGGGTGATAAATGTTCTAAAATTGACTGTGGTAATAGTTATACACCTCTGTGAACATACCAGAAATCATTAAACATGCACTTTAAATGGGTGAATTATTTGTTATGAATTATATCTCAATACAAATTTCACTGTGGTTTTTATTGGAATTGCAATTGCAATTTGGGTTAATTTGGAGGAAAAAAGCAGGCATCTTTATAAGTCTTCCTTTCCAGAAAGATTCTGATTATTCATCAGAAAAATTTAGCACTATCCAGCCATTCATTTATTCATTCGTTGTTTTTTTTCTAAACACTTATTGGCACTTTTTTTCCCTAACATTATGGTCATATGTGGACATCTGTTTCCCTCACTGGATTGTGAATTCCCTAGTGGCAGACAGGATATCTTTTTATCTGTTTCCTCCTCAGTGCCTAGCACAAAGTACACAGTGTATACTTAATACATAATTGCAAAATGAATGCATAAAATAATGAACACATAAATGAACAAACTTACCTATGCTCATGTGTCCATCTGGATCTGATCAGAGAGAGGAAATAAGGAAGGAAGTAAGGGATAAGAGAGGACATAGACAAAGAAGTTAAGTGCTGAACAAGCAGGGAAAATGGTAGACACAGAAAAGAAAAGACAGTCAAAGTCCTATCAAGAAGGGTTTCTTGAACCCCCTGCAGTGGGCTCATTCCTGGACTCTGCCATGAGACTGGAAAGAAGGCTGGAAGTTCAACCTATGAGACTCTTCCCCTGTAGTCTGTGCTATTATTGTACTCTATCCTCTGGCCAGCTATTTTTAGGCCTTTATCCAGAGACCTTGTGCCTGTTCTCCTTGACCAAGGTAACTTTGATGCCAGTTAGACTCTGTTCCTCTTCTCTGTTTGGAATACAGAACCTGGGCCAGGTAACCCTTTTCCCACTTACAGGAGGGAAATCATACACACGTGTTCTTACCATCCTGTGAAGCATACTGGCATACCCATAGCAAGAGAACAAGGGCAACTCTCTCAGATCCTTTATCATCACATCAATTATAATACTACCTAAAAGAGGAATATACCTAGAGCAGAAAGAGAAAGTGGAAAGAACAGCCAGGGGTACTATTTTAAATGTACTTCAGATCCCTTAAGTATAATAGACACATGCAAAAATATTCATTACAATGGTTCTGTTATCCAAGTAAATAGCATAGTTTAAATCATTAGTGTTTAATCTAGTATTATAGTATACTAGATATTTCTGTGGTACCTGAACAAGGAAATTTTAAGAGAATAACCATTCAGATCTTCAACTTCCCACATATAATCTTTCCTAACAGTGATGTTAGGAAATGTGGAGTTGGAGTTGGCTCCCTTTCCACTATCTTTCACAATTACCCTTCTCCCATGTTGTAAGAATGTCATAGTCTTTCTCTTATCTCAAACTGTATTATGGAGGGAGTTTAACTCAAGCCTCACATATGCTAAGCATACATTCTACCACTGATCTATGCCTCCAGCCCTTAGATAATTATTTTTCAGTGGTATCTTGCCCCTACAATAGAATTGTCTGAAGAGGTTATAAAAGTACAAGTCAGAGGTTTTATCCTCTGGGGATTCTGATTCAATAGGCTGAAGTTTCTAAAAAGATACTCAGGTGTACTAAAATTTGGGAACCTCTGACTCTCAATATGAGTCCCCAGAACTAGATTTATTGTTTACCCCTATTTCAATGTGTGAATTTGCAAAAACTAAGTCTTAGTTTCCTTGTCTGTAAAGTATAAGATGGGAGAAGAAAGATGGGAGGCAAGGGAAGGTTGGTGTTAGACTGGATAATCTCTTAATGTTCCTTAGATTCTTTGATTCTGTTTCTCCCAGCAGCAAAGGAATGGGCTCTCACAATCAGTTTCAAAGGAAAAAAGGTAGACACAGAAGGGAAGAGTGCATAACTTATAGAACGGAATTTGGAATCTTATAAAGAAGAGTTTCTTGAGTTCCTGCGGTGGGATTAGTGAGTTCATTCCTGGACTCTACCATGGGAGAGACTAGCAGTAACCCCCGGAGCTGAGATTCAGGCTATGGAACTCATAGATGGAAATCCAATACTTACATGGGGAAGAGAAAAACAAGAACAAATTTAGCTGATGTAGAGACTAAAGGAAAGTAATGAAACCTGACATGCCTGCCTCACATGGTTGTTGTATAAATCAATACAAATCCAGCTAATTCCACACGTGAGTATAGTGTAAGACAGCTTTAAAGGACACTCCCTCACCTGATTCTCATAACTATCTTAGCAGTAGGTACAGCAAGTATTATTATCCTATTTTAAATATATAATAAATCCAGAGGAATAGGCTTACCAAGGCCTCACAGGGAATTTTAAAGACAAATCTGTAACTAGGTTCCAGGTTTCTGACTTCTAGACTAGTGTTTATTCTACTGTACTAATGTGAAGTATACCCAAATGAACATGGAGAAGTTACTTTCCTAAAAATTACTAGAAGCTGAGGAGGACACTTCCATCTACTTTGAACTTGAGACTGTAGCCAAGATCACAGTTAACATTATCTTTTCAATCTTTGACAACTTCTTGAAAGACCCAAAACCTCAAGCAAGGAAGCTCTCATATGTCCACCTTCATAGTTCCTGGCATTGTCAAGTGCCATAGGACCATTTGTATATCCATGTGTTCCTAGAGACACATTACCAACAATTCATTCCTAAATAAAATTGCAGCTCATAGGCAAAAATCTTGCCTCCATCAGATTGTGAACTCCATGATAAGGACCAGATTTCTCCTCTTTATTACTATATATTAAGCATGCAGTATAGTACCTGACACATACCTGACAAATACCTATAAAATTTTAAACCTTAAGGTAGAAACTAGTAGATTATCTATAGATAATCTATAGAATTATTTGTATTGGACATGGATATACATACAAATAAAATTAGATTTCTGTTAGTTTGTTCCATGTCATATGAAAACAACTGGATAGATTTTCACCATATCTGGATGTCATATTTAAGATTCTCTAGCTTAATTAATGTGGTAGTCTGAGGAACATTTTCAATAGGTATAGTCATCCTCAAAATGACTGGACATTTTACTGTTCAATGAGGGGTCTGTGTGACTGCTTATTTGGATATATTTCTATATATTAAAATATTATTGTCAAAAACAAGCAAACACTGGTTTCAAAAATTCCTGAGTTCAGTGAGTAAGAAAAAAAATGTATAAAAACTGAGCCTCTAGTAAAAAATCACATGCAGAAATACAGGTGTTAATATGCTTTAGAGATGTTTTCTGTATGAGCAGTTCTATGTAATGAGTTACAGGTTAAATGGGTCTTATATAATTATTTATATAAAATAATGATTCTCCCTGTTAGTAAAACCATAGGCTTTAATAAGCAGAACATATCTTAGATCCTTAGATTAGGGCTGTTCTCAAACCCTTACATTTGAAAAAGAGATAAGAGGTAATATATGAGGCCCTCCTAGGACTGAATTCTATTATATTTTCTAATCTCTTCAGTGCTTCAAAATTAAATGTTACCTAATACCTAATGCATAGAATGAATGCTGCTCATATGTGTTTTTGGTTTATCCCTGTGTCCTGGGTCCCTGCAGCATCTGACCCTACCTTAATTGATCAATCCTAAGATTGATTGAGCTGACTATGTTGTTCCTCTACCTTTAGAGTTAGCTGAATCTCTCACAGTCCCTAGGACAGAATGCTATAATAAAAGACAGAGAAAGAACCCTGGATTAGAAATAAGGAAAACTGGACTTTATTTTATTTTTAATTTTTTTGATAGTACTAGGCAGGTCTTCTACCTCTTGAGCTACACTCTAGACCAAATACTGGATTATAGACCAAAACTTGCTACTTCTCACAATGTAAATTTTTTTTACAAATTAATTCACTTCTCTGGGTCTCAACTGCTTTACCTGTACATAAAAGGACTGTTTCATTAAGTGAATTTTCTAAATCTAGATTTTATTACTCATTCTGGCTGAGGACAAGAAAGAGGGTTGGAAAGTAATTGGAAAAAAGCTTTACAAAGAAGGTGGCATTTTATATGGTTCTGAAAAAACAAGTATATATGGTTTTGGCTTAGATAAGGAACAGACCTTATCCTGATTTAGGGAGAAGAAACAATGTTAATTAAGGCTTAGAGTGCAGAAACTGAAAAGCATAGAGCAATCTAAAGACCAATGCCAATCCTAGATATTTTCATTTATCAATGGTGTTTTTTCAGACTGTTAAATTTATTGAATATGAAGTATTATACTTTGTGCTGTTATACTCTGCCTCTCTCATACAATTAAAATATCTTTATTTTAAATTACACAGTAGTAATATAGGCTGATACTTTTAGTTTCAAAAATACCTTTACTTTGGGGTTAGGAAAGTAGCTCAGTGGAAGAGTTCTTGCCTACCACATGTGAGGCCCTGGGTTTCCAAAAAAAAAAAAAAATCTTTACTATGCAGAATTTTAAAATGATAACTATTTAACCCACTGCTAAAACTGACATGAAATTTAAAATCAATATACGGTATCAACTAATTCAGTTTATTACTTAGGCTACATTTTGTTGCCTGTAAGACTGAAAAGATAGACTGTTAAGACCATGAAAGTCAAGTACTATTCTGTATAGAAGGAGACTAAAAAGACCTAGTAACTATATATTCTATGTGATTCTTTGGCTAGCTCCTTTTGCACAAAAGATGTTATTGGGCCAATCCAACAAAGCCAGGATGAATTCTGACAATTAGATGACAAGTAATATATGAATACTGATTTCCTTATTTTGATAGTTGTATTATAATTATACAGGAGAAAGTCTTTGTTTATTGGAAATATAGTGTTCATAGGGCTATATCTTACCCTCAGATAGTTTAGGGAAAAGTTATTCTATTGTATTTGCAACTTTTCCATGAACTTGAAATTTTTATAATTCTCATAGCAGTAAGTATTCACTCATCTTTTCTTTTGTTTTCAGCACTAGAGTTTGAACTCAGGGCCTCACTCTTGCTAGGCAGGTGCTCTTGCTGCTTGAGCCACTCCGTCAGCCCTCTTTATCTCTGCTAATCCTTGTGGCAATCTTTTGAGATGAATAGGACAAGATTTGCTTGCACTTGGGGGTCAGAAGGACGTCTCAAGATCCCAAAGAAATTAGGGTTTCTACCTACACATAGACCCTCAGGCTAGACTTCTTTTTTGCACCACTGAGGTTTGAACTCAGAACCTCATGCTTACTAGGAAGGCGCTCTTACTGCTTAAGCCACTCCAACCAGCCCTTTTTTGTGATTAATTTTTTTGAGATAGAGTTTCTCGAACTATTTCCCCAGGGCTGGCTTTGAACTACATTCCTCCTGATCTTTGCCTCCTGAGTAGCTAAGATTACAGATGTGAGCCAATATACTTATGATCAAGACAATGATATTTTCAAAATATAAATATAATATGTTACATACCCCTACTTGGATCCTAGCACTTGTCTTATCTATAATTTTTATCTCTGTGTGTGAAACACTAATTCCTGATCCTATTTCAAGAGTTTCACCTCACAGTATCTTCTTCATCTCAACTAATAGGGGTGAGAGAGAGAGAGAGAGAGAGAGAGCATTGGGATTTTTTTTTTTTTTTTGAGACAGGGTTTCACTATGGAGCCAGGTTGGCCTCAAACTCACAATCCTCCTGCTTCAGCCACATGAGTGCTAGAATTTAGGCATTCCCAGTCCCTTATTGATTTTCTTTCTTTTCTTTTTTTTTTCTTTCTTTCTTTCTTTTCTTTCTTTCTTTTATCTCCCTTTTTTGGTGGTACTAGAGTTTGAACTCAGGGCTTTACACTTATTGAACAAGCATTCTAGCACTTGAACCACACCCCAGCCCTAACTATTTTTTACTAACTTTTTCACCCAGGCTGGCCTTCAATCATGATCTTCCCATTCTACCTCCTCCATAACTGGGATTACAGTTGTGAGCCACCATGCCTGGTGCCCCCCTTGGAGATATTCTTAACTACATCCTTTTATATCATATATCAAGCCATCAATAAACCGTACTGACTCTGCCTTCAAAATATCCAAAATCTGACCACTTTTCACGGTCTTTACTGTTATCTCTCTTTTCAAAGTGCCTTTTTACTGGTCCCTTTGCTATTGCCCTGTCTCCCTTTCCCAAAGCCTGTTCTCAGGTAGTATGTGGACTATATAATGCAGATATTCAGCTTAAAAATGCTTACTGCATGGAAAAATGAGCATATT